ACAAGAGGTGGCACATACTTGTGATTCTAGCATTTGGGAGGCAGAAGCAGGATCATGAGTTTCTAGCCAGCCTGAGTTATGTTGAAAGACACAGAAAAATATCCCTGACAGTTCCATCTTAGTTTGCTACTGGCTACTGTTAACCTTGGACTTGTAGGTTATCTAGAAATGATGTTTACTCCAGATACTGATTACTTAAGAAAAAACTGGCTTTTGTGTATGTGGTTTTTGTTTTTGCTTTTTGAGACAGAATCTTAACTGTTGCCCAGGCTGGCTTCAAACTTGAGACCCTTCTCAGCCTTGTAAATGTTGGGATCACAGGTATATACTACCATACCTGCTCCCCCCCCCCCCCAAAAAAAAGCAGTACAGTTTCTATAAAGTGGTTGTGAGCATCTTCTGTAATCAATGCAATGAATTGGTGTATTTGATGTATCTCTCTGTCTTCTTTGGAAATAAGTATGTAATAAAATTTTACTTTTTTGTTGTTGTTTCTATGTTTTAAAGGAAAAAATAGTGTTTAGAAACCCTTTCTCGCCGGGCAGTGGTGGCGCACGCCTTTAATCCCAGCACTTGGGAGGCAGAGGCAGGCGAATTTCTGAGTTCGAGGACAGCCAGGACTACACAGAGAAACCCTGTCTTGAAAACAAACAAACAAACAAACAAAAAAACAAAACAAAAAAGAAACCCTTTCTCAGTGTCTTCTATCCCAGGCATCCTCCTTTGAGGAGCTAGAAGTCACACTGCTTCTTGTCCAACAGAGGGCCTGAGAGGTATCCCTTGGAATTATCTTTGGGTACCCATATGCTGTTTTCTAGTAGTTGAAGCAAGGATGGCAAGCTGTCAACTTCTCACTTGTCAAGATTCCTTACCTGACCTGATGGGAAAGAAAAGCATTTCACAGGAGACAGTGACTTGCTCAGGGTTAGTGTACTAAGGGTATCCCCACGTGGTACAAACTCCATAGCAGACATGTAAGGACTGGCAGTATTTTAGGAACAAGCCTTTGCTTTGATGTAAAATGAACTCCTTGTATGTGAAATGAGTTACCTTTCTTGGGGTGCTGATGATTATCTGTAAGGCATAGTGATCGCTTGCAATGATCCTGTAAGCAGACAGTCTGACCCCTAGTCAGTTCTAACCCTTAAGATTCTATTTTTCCTTATCACCAGTCAGAATTCACACTGCAGAGTGATAGCTCAGAATGTCGTAAGACATACTAAGCAGCAGGGACAAGAGGCTAGAGCAAGGTCTACAGAGGTTTGTTGGCTGGTCATGACACTCGTGATCTGATAGATTTCAAAAAATGCTCCTGAGTCAAACCTTGCTTGCTGGGCCATTGATGTAAACATTTGCTGTGTCAAAATCTGTGATCATATATATATTTTATATATGTGAATACACTGTCGCTGCCTTCAGACACACCAGAAGAGGGCACCAGATCCCATTACAGATTTTTTTTTTTTTTTAAAGCACTAAAGCTTTATTACAAAAGGAGCTAACTGCTAGAGAGGGCCCTCTCCAGTGTCTCTGTGTCTCTTCCTTCCCAATATCTACCTCCAGGGGAGGTCAATGGTCCATCATAGAAGAGGTGTCTGGGAGAATGAAGTATGGTAATATTTTTTCCAAAGTCCTCCAAATCCTTCTAGGTGCTGTTGAGAATCTTCTGGTAGAAGATGTAGGAACTTTAGCTCTCATCTCCAAGATCCTCCATATCTACATCCTGGGGAGCTTTTATCTTCTTTTGTCGTTTGGGCTGTGGCTGACTAGTCCTGGTTGACTTGGAAGGAACTTCCACTTCTATGGCTGGTTTTTCTTTCTGGGCAAGTCGGATCTGCTGCAAGAGTTTCCTGGGCTTCTTCCCAGATAGTGTGATGTTGGCATGAGCACTGGACGCCCGCTTCTTGAGGTGGTGCCTTGTAGTCAGCCCTTCATTTATCACAGCCCCGACCACCTGGGGCTTCCGTCTCCGATCCCTGCTTAGTACCCTGCGGTGCTTGAACAACAACTTTTTCAACTCCATGGGGACGATTGATCTTTCCTCCTGGAGGTCCCATTGCTACACTCGGAGGCTCTACAGATGGTTTTGAACTACCATGTGAGTGCTAGGAATTGAACTCAGGGCCTCTGGAAAAGCCATCTCTCCAGCCTTATCCAATAAATTTTTAAATGTTCCCAGATTGGACCTTTCTTGCTAGGATGTTGATCTACCCAAGGGTATGTCAAAATCTTATTTTCTGATTTTTTTTTTTAAAGATTTATTTATTTATTATATATGAGTACACTTGTAGCTGTCTTCAGACACTCCAGAAGAGGGCATCAGATCTCATTACAGATGGTTGTGAGCCACCATGTGGTTGCTGGGATTTGAACTCAGGACCTCTGGAAGTGTAGTCAGTGCTCTTAACCACTGAGCCATCTCTCCAGCCCCTTATTTTCTGATTTTAAAATTACATTTTTTTTTCTCATTTGTCTCAGGAAAGCATTGGAATGAAATAAAATATAATCTCCAAAGTAACTATACTATTGTTAGATTTGAAGCCAACCAAATTAGGTTCCTAGATTTGTAAAGTTATGACCAGAATGAAACATTTGGCTCAATTTAAGAGCTTAGTTAGATCTGGGTATGACATATTTTCTTAAATATGAAACACCGGATAATTTTTAGTTTCTGCATGGTCTACACCTACTCATGCTCTGAATACTTGGGCAAGAGTGAGTAACCACCAACTCCATATTAGGGAGGGATCTGGCCAGTGTGTCTTAGAGGCCCAATGACACTGATGGAAAATGTTTTGTGGTTGAAACCATAGTCCTTGATTTAAGACAAATGTTTAAAGAGTTCTGAAACACTGGTAACAATATTGGTAAGTCTTGCCAAAACAAAGGTTACGAATAATTTGAGGGAATCTGAATCAAAGTATTAAGAATGGTATGCCACTAAGTGTTACTAATTCTTGACTATTGTGTTTTACTTAATAACAATGTTTTTCTATGAGACAAATGAGAAACATAAAAATTTTAAGTCAGAAAAGGACTAGATCTTGACATAACAAGTGTGTGTCAACTGCTCAGCACGCAAGGCCCAACCCAGGAAAACATCCTAACCATTCATTTCCTCCAAAAGCAGTAAAGATCAATAACATCTGGGGTTGGTTCCTGCCACAGTGCTGCAAGTACTTACTTTCAACATTGTATCCTTCTCGTCTCTAGAATTGGGGGGGGGGGGGGTCTCTGTTACAAGTTCATCTATACCATGCCACTGCAGGAAGGAGGCCTTTCACCACCATATCACACACTAAAAACTAATGGTTGTTAATAAAAAGAAGTCTTATATTGCCCATAATCAAATGTTATCAACTATGTAAGAATAAGCCAAAACCCAGCAAGTAAACTTGTCCAGTTCAAGGCTATCTCACAGACATCAATGTGATACTCAATGTACTTTTTAATGGAAATATTGCTTACAGTTTTACTAAGGGAATTCTGTCCAGATAACAAGTTAAAGAATCATTTCCTACACAACACTTTGAGAAAGATCAATTAAACAGCATTTATGACATAGAATCATCAGGTGTTACTAACAGGCACCATCTACCCCTTCACACTAGTGGAAAAATAGTCCAAAGGTGGCTTAAAGTTTAAAATGGGCCAGCAGGTAAAAAACTCAATTCCAGTGACCTGAGTTGGATCCCTGAGACGTACATGGTATAAGAACTGACTTCCAAAAGTTGTTGTAAGTAAATATCATTAAGAAGTAAGAGTTAAAAAAAGAGAGAGAAAAGAGTAAGGAGAGAGAGAAAAGAGTTTAAAAAATTAGTTTTGAGTATGGAAAAACAACAACAAAAATAACTCCACAAGACAGTAAGACTTTAGAGAAGAAAGGAACGTAGCTGAATATAATGTTTAGGTTTTGGTTTCTTTGGGATTGTTTCCAGGTCACTTTATTGGCTGTCTTGTACTTAAGAGTTCAACTGCTTACAAGGGGAATGAAAACAAACTGAATCCAAAGTCCAAAATCTCAATTCTGATATTCCTTTACCACATTAAAATAAGCTTTAAAAAAAAAGACCTAAACATTGAGCCCAGAATTTTTACTTTATTATTATTTTGGCTTATTTTTATTTTTTATTTTTTGAGACAAGATCTCTGTGTAGTTCTAGCTGTCCTGGAACTATTTAGACCAGGCTGACTTCAAACTCACAGAGAATCCTCTGCTTCTGCCTAATGAGTGCTGGGGTTAAAGGCATGCCTGTTCAACATTTTTATGAATCAAAAAGAATTTAGCACAATGTGATCTCAAAATCTAAATTTTGAAAAATTAAAAAATGACTCACAAAAGGCACTGAAGTTGGCAAGATCAGTGGTATAGTTCTGTATTGGGATTAAGGACTGCCAAGTGTCTATAGAACACTACTGGCTTTGTACAAGCAGCTGTGCCAGACAGCCGAGACCAGCTTTGGCAAGGTGGTTTTATGTTGGTGCCTTAGGGTGTGCAGTGCCACTCTGTACACATCTCTTGGGATACACAAAAGTAAACACCACAAGCCACTGAAATGAACACAGATCTCAAGTGCTTTTAAACTCTAGTGTACTGTTCATCAAATAATTTCTAAAATATGGGATACATCTGTCATGTAATCATGCTCAGTGAAATCTCAGGATAAATTTTAAGATTAGGGAACAACTTCTAGATTACTTATCTAGAATACTTATTACATTGTCAAGTACTGAGAAATAATTTTGTTTCGTTTTTAGTTATTGCTGGTGGGTTTTCTTGTGATTACTGGCATGATTCTCAATGGCTTTAACTGCCCCCACCCCATCTTCTGGCAGTGTGTTGAGCATTGTTACTGAAGTCTGAGATAGTCAAGGCCCATCTGCTTCTCCGCCACCTGCTTTCTCATGGTTGGAACCAGGATGAAGTGACAAACACATAGTTTTGTCATTGCATATCAGAAAGCTGTCCCTCCCCCCCCAAAAAAAGAGACAACACATAATTCACTTGTTTCAGAAAGAGTGGGTGTGCTTGCACGTGCTGCAGAGTTGCTGCTAACACACTCGCTTGTCTATTAACTGCCTTTGCATCTTTGCTCCATTACAAAACTAGAAGTTTCTACCTGAAAAGTCATTACTACAGCTACACATTCCAACAATTTGTATCTGAGTTTGCTTTCATTAACTTCTTCCAAAATATCAGACATTCAAATTATACTCAGAACACTATATTTTCTAGAATTCTGGTACCCTCAAAGTGAGGATTAAGTTATTCAGAATACATTCTTCCATGGAATTTTTACCAAAAAACATTACTCTTTCAAAAACAAAGAAGTAAATGAATCCCAGGAGTGAGCATACTGGCTGGCTCTACAATGCTGCAAGTCGGGCCATGCGTGCCACTCTTTGGAAGTGTCTTCCATGTGCTGGACTGTAGCGTCCAGGGCTGTGCAGGCGAGAGGAGGAGGTGGTGTGGCCAGGCTTATTGGGGCTGCTACCAGCTGGACTGCATCTTCCTGAGCAGCTATGAGAGCAATCAAGATCCACCAGCTCAGTTGTGAACTTCCCTCTGAGTGCAGGACTTGGCCAACTATGGAAACCAAGAAGTTTGTTACCACAGAAAGGCACACTACAGAGTAGAGACAGAACAAAGACACATAGGCATGACACTTGTCTTACAGAGAGAAGATATGAAGACTTTACACATAGAACTCATGTTGTTCCAGTTATAAATTCTGGACACTGCTTCCCCTGATGCAGTTTGCCAGGAGCAAGCCTGGCCTACTTTTCCACTCAATGGACATATGCCTTTGTGACCACACCTATATGGACACACACGCCAGGCTTGCATTGAGGAGCTACCCAGGTTAGCTTTGTTACTCTGAAAAAGCCCCCCATGTCAGTCTCTGCATTCTGATGTGGTGATTAGTAGTACCTCTGTCTGTCTGAGGGTGAGTAGCACATGACGGTACTTTTCCATCTGTGGACTGCTGGGTACAGACCAGGGTCAATATTCACACACTCAAGAGCTGCTAAGACATCTCGATCTAGTTTTGATGGTTCTTCTCTAGAATGCAGAATAGAAGAAATATAAGAAAAAGCAGAAACACTGGAGGATGGGGAAGGCTCTTAAGGTATTATATTTTTAACTCAAGAACCAATCTGGAGGGGCTAAAGAAATGGTTCAGCAGCTAAGGGGTACTGGTCTTAGAAAGGACTGGAGTTTGTAGTCTATGTTGGGAGGCTTATAAGCACAAAATAAGTGAAAACCAAAAAACAACAAACACCCCCCCACACACCCCAAATCTGGGCTGAGCAAATAAACCACCCTAAGGTGGGTGGGTGAGGGGAGCTGGTATGCAAGGCCAGGGCTGATCAAGGTAAGTACTGTAGGGAATGGTGAAGACTCTTTAAGACACTAGTTGGGACTTCCACAGTAGTATCATGTGCCCTTATTAACATGGTTTTAAATCTTAAACATAGGGACAGATGAAATCATTCTGTTGGTACTCCCTTATTGACACTGGATTAGCATAGTCCAGATAGACCCCAAGGATATTTAAAAACTACACACTCATTATAGTGTTAGAAGCATCTTTAACTTACCCAGACAGGAAGAGCCTCTTGGTGGGATCTGTGGCAGATGAGAACTCAGGTTCCAGACCAGCCTGAACCCCAAGTTGGGGGCTCTTGGGGCCCAAAGACATTTCAGCCATTGCCTCTGATACCTCACTGTTGGTTCTGACTTGCTTATTTTCAAGTCTTGCTATTGCAGGAGGAGATCCCAGCAAGTCACTTTCTACTACATCCTTTCTTGAAGCCAGTATCTTATCGTCTAGTTTCCTATTTTTATTTGGTGTCTCAAGAAGGCTATCTCCTAGACTTTGCAAATTCAGTTTATTGAACTCTCGAGTCAAAATGGAAACAGGTGGTGGAAGGGTCTCCTCTCCATTGGTGGCCTCTAGTCCCCTTCCATCTGCAGTCCTGTTGTTCAGAGGATGACAAAACCCATTTCTGCTGTTATCTGGGTAAGATCCAACTGAGGCTTCTCCAGGGTCCACCTTCTGTCCCAAGGGAAGGGAATCACTTTTAGAGTTTTGGAATTTATCAACTGTGGGCTGGCTCTGACTTGGAACTGTATTTTGCTGATTTTTAATTTCTTCCAAGCTAATGCCATCATCCCCATCTAGAAATGCTCCCACGGAGATGGAATTGCTGTACTTCTTTCCACTGCCTGTAAGGGCAACAAAACTGCCTATCAGTGTGTGGGATGAAACTGTAAGAGCCTTTACTCAATGTAAACCCTACAACTCAAGCAAGAAGTGACTATTTCAAAACTGGGTTAGGTTTTAAGACAAGGGCCATGTGGCCAGTTTCCCACAAGTTGATTTGGTAAGGTTCTAGAAATACTTTGTAGAAGAAGCTCATGAAAAGTTACTGCATGGGGGCAGGAGAGATGGCTCAGCGACTAAGAGCACTGACTGCTCTTCCAGAGGTCCTGAGTTCAATGCCACATTGTGGATAACAACCATCTATAGTGGAATCCAATGCCCTCCCTCTTCTGGTGTGTCTGTAGACAGTGACAGTGTACTTACGTAAAACAAAATCAATCTTTAAAAAAATAAATGAAAAATAAAAACTACTTCATGAAATATATCAACAACTTGAGAGAAACACTGAAGTTAGTCACTATCAGAGAACTCTTTAACATTAACTGGACGCTTATAGTCTCATGGAACAACAGGTTCAGAGTATATAAAGATGCATCCTGGCACTGACTCCCAGCCTGGTGCAGCTCATTCCACAGCAGAGCCTTTACTCCAGCATACTCAAGGTTGCTTCTCAGATTAATTTTTAATTGAATATGATGTATATCTATGTACACAACGTGTGCTGTGTGTGTGCATGTGCGTGAGCTCATGCAAGCAGTGGCATGAGACTAGAAGTCAGGAGTATTTTGTGGCGTTCTCTTTCCTTCCATCTTTATGTGGGTTCTAGGGATAGAAACTGGTCACCAGGCTTCTGTAGCAAATGCTTCTACTTGCTATGCCATCTCAAGGAATCAATTTCTTTCTTTTTACATGGCGTATATCATATTTTCCCTCCTTCCCTACACTGTTTCAGGAAATTTAATTTGCAGGTCAGTTGTTCAATTTTAACTTAGAAAGTTTTAAATTACATCAATTCCTATTTTAGGGAAATCAAAGCTGTAGTTACATAAAGTTTCTACTTGAATTTAAGATTTTACTTGTTTTTTCTTTTGGTTTTCTTGAGACACGGATTTCACTTTGTAGACCAGTCTTTGAGATTGGTCTCAATCTCAGAGATCCTGTTATCTGTGCTGGGATTAAAGGCATGCACCACCAGTGCCCAACTGTTCCACTTTATTTTTGAGACAGGATCTTTTTACTTTATTCCTGGATTGCCTCTTCTTACATAGTTTTGGTTGGCAGTATTCTTCCTGCCTCTTGCCTTCAGTTCTGGGCATTTAACTAGTACACCCAGTGAGATTTACTTGAGAGAGGACCTCATGCTTCTTGCCAGCCTGGCCTCTAACTTTCTGGGTAGCTGCAGTTTGTATTGAGCTGATCTCCTTTCTAGCCCCTCTTATAGGCTAACACTATAGACACTGGCATACTCAGCTAAATCACTATTTTTAGTTTGATTCATAATAACAGTTTTATTCCTGATTCAATGAAAGCTTTTCTGATGTAAGAATAAAGTGCTGCTAGACCAACAGCAACCCTAAGCCATTTCTTCAGGGAGGGTGCTGCTGCTCTATGTTAGAAAAGCAGAAGCCCAGGAGTGAGGAAGGAGTTTAGCTGGAAGACCTATAGTGAAGACTCTTGATTGACTCTCCAGCTTGTTTCCAGTGTGCTGTCAAATTTACTAGTTTTTTTTTGTTTGTTTCATTTTAGTTTTAATTACAAAAATGATAGTATGTAGTTGGAAAACGTTGAAGTGAGATGCAACTCTAATGTTGCTATAGTCATCTTAATATTTTGAAAATTAGTATGTAAATATACTTAAGATAAAGTTTTTCTCTCCACTAATGACTATTTTACATCACTCATTATAACTGTTTATATCATTCACTATTGTAAAGAGTTTTAAAGCATAATTTTACTTCAAGCCATGATTTTTTTGCCTAAGGATAGAACTACTTACTTCCTCAACCAATCCTCAACTGTAGGTGAAGAAACATATACTGAGGGATCCACTAAATGCTTGAACACTTGATTAAGCAAACGGTCTGTCCCGAGCCAGGACATCACATTTACTTCCTGGAAAACTCTCCACATTGGGATCTTACAGTGAGTATTTTGCTTGCTTGTGTGTTATGTGCATTTTGTGTGTGCCCAGTGCCAGCTGAGGTAGAAAGAGGGTGTGGGACCCTCTGGAACTAGAGTTATAGATAGTTGTCAACCACCATGCATGTGGGTGCTAGGAACTGAATTTGGGTCCTCTCTAAGAGCAGCAAGTATTTTTAACTGCAGAGCCATTTCTCTAGCCCCAGGTATTTCTTTGATTCTTGTAAGATACATGATTTTCCTTCCTTTAAAGACTATTTTTCTTTCCCCATTTCACTTTAGGTGTATAACATTAAAAATTTTACTATCCCCTCCTACCCCCTATTGCTGGAAACTGAACCTATGGCTTTTGTTCACGTAAGCACATGTTCTACCAGAGTTACAACACAGACTAACTTCACCTTCTTTGATGGTGTTGGTGAATTGTGCCCTTCCCCCAGCCTTGAGCAGGCCTGAGAGATGAGACCTTGTTTACCACAATAGACCAAACAATAGGACTCCCAGAGGTATTGCCTGCCCTTGGCAGAGGTATTGCTTGCTTTGGCTGCCTGTAGCCTGGTACACAAGCTGAGAAGAATAGACTGCCTGCTGAGCTTGCTTTGAGACATCTCCAGCCTACAATTAAGTATGGATTCCCCTCACCCCCCAGCAGGATGGATTACTCTCATCCCCAGCAGGCTGAAGCAAGAAGGAACTCTGGGGGTGGGGGTGGGTTATCCCCTTTAAATTAGAACCTGAACATTAAAGCATTGAGCCTTGATCAGAAACCTTTGTCCTGGCTTCATCTCTTCCCGCCCTCCTCCCATTCCCAGCCTCTCTTTCAGATGAACCCGGTTGACTGTGGCCGCTGGCCCCCAACAGAATGGCGCCCAACGTGGGGCCCAACAGTGAATGATGACCTATTGTATGGTTTTTTTTTTTGTATTCATGTTAACCTTTTCCAAGCATTCCATTAACTTGCTTTGTACTCAAGACATGCCATACCCAATGACTTTAAAAATAGTGCCCAGTATTCTGAAACCTATGTTCTTTATTCTTTTTCTGACATTGTACAATACATTCAAATATAAAGCATATCTAGGTCAGTAAAAAAAAGCCCAAAGTATCAGACTCCTTGCAAGGATGCCACAGTTTTTATGTAGGATACACACACGTTGCTTGCTGTGATTGTGAATTCTCATATACTATCCCATGCATACAACACAGTTCATATACCTGCATATACATACAAGTGCTCGAGACACACAGAGCTTGCTGTGATACCTTGCTTTTGTTTGCTTGTTTGTTTTAACACAAATGTATGCACATTTTTCTGACGTCAGTTTTAGGAAAAGATCTGATTTTACAGTAAAAACATATTAAGAAAAGAGAAACCCACAGACACCTGCACCTACTTACCAAACTCTGAGGTTCTTTCTGGAAGGCAGCCTTCATTTTCATCTATTTCTTGTTGAGCTTTTTTGCTTAACTCCTTCTGGATAAGGTATTCTTCTAGTCTTTGCAAGCCTTCCTGGGAAGACAGATCAACAAAACATCCCAGAAATTCCCAGTATTCAACCCAGGGATACCCCAGCTCATGAGCTAGCTCCCTGTAAGAAATAAAACACAACAGTTGAGAAAACAGGAAAATAAAAACAAATGAAACAAAAAACCAACTACACAGATGGGCCACTGTTGTTTTGGGTATTTTACTTTGCCCTAATTTGGGGCGTTCTCTCATGCTCCCCCAGTGGTTAGACCCTGCATGTTCTTTGAGGAGTTACTCTGACATAGCAAGTAACTCTTACTCATAGAAGAAGCACAGTGTACAATCATAACTTCACAGCAAAAAATAAAAAAAAACACAAATCCTCCTAATGTATGTCCTTGCCTTGGCTAAGTATGTAAAACTTTAGAGGTCTGTAGCAGGTTCAAACTGGGCACATACTTTGAAAAAAGGCTCTCATTCCTTCTGGAAACTGTTACATTTCAGTATTCATAATTAATATATATTTTTTTTATCATTTATCCACAACCACACAGCACACTTTGCTCAGCCTGGCAGTCATGGTCCTATGAATACCTTCCAACTCTCTCAATGCCTCGTTCTGGGTCAGACTTTCTGATGCTGTGGAAGAAGCCTGCTTTCTTTCGAGGTGGAGTTTTCCAGAGCTTTCGAAAATCTTCTGCCTGGAAGAAAAAGTGTCAAGATAGGCTATGCTTCATGCAGCTCACCTGAGACTTAGAACTACCAACACCACAGACTTAATGGCTTTCTACCACCTTACAGATTCTGCATCCATTTCTACATATAGCCAAGAGAGAACATGACCTCATGGGATCTGGGAAAGGTGGCATTGGTTGTATGACATTTCCTAGGTAGAAATTTATTTACAACTCCAGGAAAAGTGATACAAAGAAGAGATGCCATTCTGTACTGCCTAATGTTGAGGGTCAAATCTTGCTCAGGATGGCCTAAGTATGGAGCTTCACCCTAAGGACAACAGGTATTGTCTATCTGCTACCTCATTGGTTCATATCCCCTTTCCCCTTACATATAAAAGGAAAGCTGACATCTCTCTCTCATGAGTAATCCTTACTGGAATTTTCCTGAAAATTATTTAAAAAGCTGTTCTGTGACAAGATCTTATTTTCAAATTGATATGCCTGCTTCAACCTCCCAAAAAGCTGGAATTACAGCATGTGCCACCATGACAATCTTATTTAGAAAGTTTTAAATAATACAACAGTGAGATATTTCACTGGAGAAAGCTGTCAGCTGTAAATCTGGCATAAAAGCATGTAGATCCAGCAATTCCACCATTTGTAAGTAGAGCTCAACTAAGCAGGCGTATGACAGGAACTCAGGAACATGGGGGAAGCCGTAAGAGTTTCATGTGTAGGAAGCTCAGTCTGGAATTTGAATTTGCAAATGTGGAGCTCCCTAAGGTGCAATGGACTGGTAAAGAACAGAAGGAACTTGGCCAGGAAAACACTAATATGCTGAGAGGACTGAGCTTCGGAATACACTTTCCCTGGCCACATAACAAAACAAACACTCCAAGGCTTCATTAAGAGGTGATCTCAGATAAAGATGACCTCAGGCTTCCAGGAGTTGGCCTCCATGACCAAAACAAAGCAACAGACTGGAGCATCAAACCCTAAAATGTAGTCAGCCAAGACAGTTCCCAAAACTTTGTCTCCTGGCCACTCACTTTGGATGGACTCAGAGGCCCCACAAACGCTCTCAGTGTCATCACAGGATCTCTGGGGCTACTTCTGCAGTGGTCAGCATTAGAGGCTTCAGCTTTCTGGTCTGAGGACCACAGCTCCCCAATGACAGGAGAAGTGTCTTCTGCTCTCAGAAGTGGCACATAGTAGTGACCTGAATAGGAGATAAATGTCAGCCACAAGCTTCTGCTTTATTTGGTCTGAGTTAGGGTCTAGGAGAACATCAAGGAAAACAGTGACAAAAAGGACCAGGAATAAGATAGGCTTGGGGTCCAAGACCAATTTGTGTCAGCAACTACTAAGTGAGTCTCTTCTCCATTCTTTACTACTAAAGCAGGGTTCTGTTTGGTTTTGATTTCTGAGCCCTGTATGCATAATGGAGACAATGATATACCTTGCAAGGCTTTGAGATTACACATGAAGATGCATTCTTATGGTACTCTTCAATACATGAGCTGCCAAGAGTAAATGTTTGTAAAAAAGATGAACTATCAGCAAACAAACAGGTCAGTAAGGTTCAGTCCTATCTCATATGAACAAACAAACAAAGCTACCCCATATTGCTTCTACTCAATCTGCAGTTTCCTGTTTTGTTCAATGGTTTATCAATGTTATTTCACAAAACTTCAAATCTAGAAGGCATCATATAATTCTTCTCTTGCCTTTAAAAATTATCTGCTCTGTTAGTACTTCTAGGCAACTTTACTTTATGGTAAAACTTCTGAAGCCAAACTACCTTTTCTTTTTCCTGGTCTCCATATCTCTCTTACATGCACAAATGCATACACACACACACACACACACACACACATACACACACACACACACCTCTCAACTCTTCTCTCTATATCCATCTATAAAACACACCATCAAATTCCTGTCCTGAAACATACTGAATATAAACAAAACAAAAAACATTAAAGAAATAAATAAAAAAGAAATGAGAGAAGAGGTAAGCAGACACCCAACAAAGCTGTAAGACTGGAGCCATGAATCTGATTAGGACAGAGAACGAGCTTAGCACACAGAGGTCACACTTCCTTCTACGCTGATTCCATTTCTCATTCTTGTAGAAGTGTGCTAGAATATCAGCATGTCATGCTGCTCACAATTTCCTGGGCATTTTTCATTTCAAGTGCTTATAATAGCTTTTATATCTTTTTTTTTTACTTAAAGAGTGTTAACATAGAGCCTACCTTAAAAAAACAACAAAAGCCAAAAAACAAAGAAACAGACCAAAACCCCACATCATTAAAATATATCTTTAACATTTATTATTTGTCTATAATGTACATAAGGCCCCAGGTTTGATACTGAGGATTAATAAAACTGAGTATGGTGGCTTATATCTAGAATCCCAGTTCTCGAGAGGACAAGGTAAGAAGATCAGAAATCAAGGTCAACCTGAGTTTAGTGAGTTTGAGAGCATCTTAGGCTACATGAGATTCTATATAAAAAAACGACCAAAGGGGGTGATGGAGGTAGAGCTCAGCAGTTAGAGAATTTGCTGCTTGGGCAGGGTGCCAGGGCTTGGTTCCTCTAATTCTACCTACCTTCTCTGTAGTCGTCCAGTTGCACAGAATCCAACACCCTCTTCTGTTCTCTGTGGGCACCAGGCATGTACTTGATGCACATATGTATATGCACACAAAGCACTCATGCACATACAATAAAAATAATTTTTAAAAATAGGAAAATGGTTGGGCATATGCCTTTAATCCCAGCTCTCTGGAGGCAAAGGCAGGCTAATCTCTGAGTTTAAGGCCAGCTTGGGCTACAGAATGAGTTCCTGGGCAGCCAAGAATATATAGTGTGACCCTGCCTCAAAACAGACAAATCAACCAGGGAAATGTATTTAACATTTTATATTCTGAGATTGTGACTGATACCACATACCTATGAGATTTTCATGAATGACAGATTTTTGTTTTGTTTTGTTTTGTTTTGTTTTTCGAGACAGGGTTTCTCTGTGTAGCCCAGGCTGTCCTGGAACTCGCTCTGTAGACCAGGCTGGCCTCGAACTCAGAAATCCCCCTGCTTCTCCCTCCCAAGTGCTGGGATTAAAGGTGTGTGCCACCACCACCCGGCCGAATGACAGATTTCTATCCCCTTCCCCTTTCATGGATTTTGAAATAATAGCTGTTTTTTGGAAAGTATACATACAACAAAACTCATGTATAACCTAGCTATTCATAAAATATGGCTTACCTTCTTTTGAATATTCAAGTCCTTTAAAAATTTGGAATGTGTATGTGTGTATGAGTATGTATGTGCACATGCTGAGGATCGAACCTAGGGCTTTGCATATTAGAATGTTCCAGAAATATACTTTACCACTGCAAGATGTTAAAACTTGTATATAAAGGGCTGTGAGATAGATCAAAGGTAGAGCTGTCCAGCATGCTTGAGGACATGAATTTAATCCCCAGTACTTTGAAGAAGACAACAATACTGCAATGACAAAACTGGATTTGTGGCCTCAGTGGTCTTATGTCTAGCTTTCATATCCTATTCATTTCCTTAAAATGTTGTATATTGGGGGCTAGAGAGACATCTCGGCAGTTAAGAACACTGACTGCTTTTCCAGAGGACCTGGGTTCAATTCCCAGCACCCACATGGCAGCTTATAACTGTAACTCCAAGATCTGACACCCTCATACAGCCATATATGCAGGTAAAACACCAATGTACATAGAATATAAACAAACAAACAAACAGTTATGTGTTCTCTCCCTCTATTTATATAAGTTTGGGTATCTTCTGGATGACTGAGCAGCATGCAGTACTGTAGTCAATTCTGCAGCATGCTCCCTGGAGCATTAAGTCTAGAATGTGAAAACAGCCACAAGACAAACACTGAAGCTCTTGCCTTGGGTTTTATGACCCTCAGCAAGAAACAGGGAAGGTATGTAAAATTCCACAAGGCTGAGTAACAAAAAGGAACATGGTTGCAGAAGTACCATGCTAATCCCAGAAAAAAGTTAGGTGATCAGATCTTGGCAGTGATCAAATTATATGATTACAAATAAGCAAAGTCTCACCACAAACTGTAAATAATTACATTTTAAGGTATTTCTGGCAGTTTAGATTAATTGTGTTCTGTAACACAGCTGGAATCTCCAGCAAATGACAACTAGCCCAAAAGACACCTCTACCACCTCCACCATACACTGGGATTCATGGGTGCATAGGCAGAAAGGACTACAAGAGATCAGAGTACAATTAAAAATCCAGATAATCTTAGATTGGGAGTCTGTGATGGTTTGAATATGCTTGACCCAGGCAGTGGCACTACTATGAGGTGTGGCCTTGTTGGAGGAAATGTGTCACTCTAGGGTTGGGTTTTGAGACCCTCCTAACTACCTAAAAATAGTCTTCTGTTTGCCTCGGAACAAGATGTAGAACTCTCAGCTCTTCCTCGAGCGCCATGCCTGCATGGATGCTACCATGCTTCCGAATGGACTGAACTTCAGAATCTGTAAGCCAGCTCCAATTAAATGTTTTCCTTTGTAAAAGATGTCTTGGTCATGGTGTATCTCTTTACAGCATTGGAAACCCTAACTAAGACAGTTAGTACCCAATTCTACAAATGTCAGATATACAGGCTACAGAAACTCTGATTTGAGAAAATACCCAGAGACACTGTGCTAAGCCATGACCATGGCTATATACCTAAGAAAGAAAAGAAGTCAAAACAGAGGCCAGAAAACTTCAATTTTACTTTGTCAGCAGAAACAACAAACTGGGTCCATGGGTAGAGACAAAGGGAAAAGTATCAACATATCTTCTGAGATCCACTGAAAACAACACAGTAGGACAGTCCCTCTTGAAACTAACATACCCACAGACCAGAAGCACAGCAGCCACAATTAGGAGCACAATTAATGGAAGTACTATTCAGGCCATAAAACTCAGCATATAGACAGCACCACCTGCCAAAATGAAGGCAATGAGCAATCCATCCAAGTCCATAGTCTCTAAATATACTAACCTTGCTTTTTTGCTTCTATAGTTCCTTCCACTTCTGGCTAACTGTACTTGCTAACTGAAATGTTGACCAGAGATATGGATTTTGTGCTTTAAAAGGTCACCCTGAGAAAGACTCATGGATATACTGGGATCCTGAACACCTAATGAAGTTGTTGGCAGGCTAAGACTTTCCACTGGCTTAAACCCATGTCCAAGCAGTTTTCTCTGGTGGATACCAAAGAGGAAAAGAGAGGGACTGAAGATAAAGAAGGGAGAAGAAAGTGTAGGAGAGAAAGAGAGGAGGGGAAGAAAGAGATAGCAAGGAGAGAGAAAATGAGTATGAACGAATATCATCCATCCACAACCCAGCAGGATAATGGTCCTGATTGGGTCCTCAGTTTGAAAGGTTAAGCTGGGCTAGACAGCCTCATAGGGGCAAAAGAGGGAGACAGACCAAAATACAACCTTCTTGAAACAAGCCAAAAACAAAAGCTAAATAACTAAACAAGGAGCTCTGGGCTTCAGCCCTCCCTAGTGAGAAATGATCAGAGAAACCTGCTTCAGAAATGGAGTGAGTCCCTGAGCAGCAATCAAGTAAAAGAGGCCTAAAATTAGAACAAGAACAAGTTGTATGAAATCAGGCAAGGGTATAGTATCTAAGAAAAACAATGGATAATTTCAAAAGGCTCTGAGGGCATTCATAGCACTACTGTTTCAGAACTTGGGAAAGCAGATCAATCTCTGCTGTACTGCCCCAGGTCCATTCATACATTGAGCCCACAACTCACCCATTAAGTATTCTCTAATCCTTTCTTTCAGTTCTACAGATTTGTTTTTGCTTCTTTCACAAATTACCTATTTAAACAAAACAGACAAAATGAGTATTCTAAATATTACTAAATTACATTTCCTAACAAATAATTTTTTTTACTTTAAACTTAGTAAAATAGGATATTATCTTTAAAATTTGTATTATTTATTATGTGTATGAGTCTATGTTGTGTATAAGTGTGGTGTAAGTGCAGATGTCCCAGAGGTCAGAAGAAGGTGTTGGTTCCCTTGGAGCTGGAGTTGCAGGCAGCTGTGAGTCATCCAACCTGGGTGCTGGGAACAGTACATGTTCTTTTTTGTTTGGTTTTGTTTGGTTTTTCAAGACAGGGTTTCTCTGTGTAGTCCTAGCTGTCCTCAAATTCAGAAGTACACCTGCTTCTGTCTCCTGAGTGCTGGGATTAAAGGTGTGCGACACCATCCCAGCAAGTGTTCTTAACCACTGAGCTTGTTTCTCCAACCCTAGCATTATCTTAATGAAAATTTCACAAAACTAACACTCAGAAAACCTGTGCTGGGGGGGTAGAGAGATGATGATTCATTGGTTAAGACCACTGGATGATCTTTCAGAGGACTTGGGTTCAATTTCTAGCATTGACATGGCATTTTACAACTGACTGCAATTCCAGTTTCAGTGGATCTGAGACCCTTTCCTAGCCTCCACAGGCACAAGGCATACATGTAGTGCAGACATATATGGAGGCAAAAATCACACCTACACACAAAAATAAATAAACTAGCCGGGCAGTGGTGGTGCACGCCTTTAATCCCAGCACTTGGGAGGCAGAGGCAGGCGGATTTCTGAGTTTGAGAGTTTGAGGCTAGCCTGGTCTACAGAGTGAGTTCCAGGACAGCCACAACTACACAGAGAAACCCTGTCTCGAAAAAACCAAAAAAAAAAAAAAAAAAACAACCAAAAAAAAAAAACAAACCCCAAAAACAAAAAAACAACAACAAAAAAAACAAACTAAAAAGAAAACCCGTGCTCAACACCACAGCCTATTCAATAAGATCACTCACTGAAAACACTCATTGGAACAGGGCAAGAAAGCAGACTCTAGCAATATGGTAAATTTTATCTTTTTTCTACACACAACTTTAGCTTCCTATCTTGTGCAAGGAAAAAAAAAAACCTTAAAAGTATATTAGGGAGCTAAAAAGATGGCTCAGCAGTTAAGAACACTGGCTGTTCTTCCATAGGACCTGGGTTCAATTCCCAACACTCACATGGCAACTTACAACTGTCTGTAACTACATTTCCAGGGGATCTGACTCCTGCACACAGACATACTGCATCATACAGACATGTGGGTAAACACTAATGCACATAAAATAAAAGTAAATAATTAAAACAATTATATCAAGTCTGAATACAGGAACACGCTACAATGTCTCATCTGAAGGAGTTTTACAGTCTAAAAGTACACACTCTCTACACACATTTTTGTCTACACACATTTTTGCTGTTGGGTATCTGACTTCAAACAGTGCTACTACCTCATATAGAACATAGATGTATTTTTGCAGCTACTAGAATCAACTTTCTGAGCTCCTGTGCAATTATAATAGTAATAATATGTTAGAAACAACAGAAAAGCAATTACTTTCAAATAAAATCAAAACAACAACAAAATCCTGGCAAGTTACCATTTTGTGAAGCAAACCAAAATTGTTCACTCAGTTTTAGAAGGCTTTTTTAGCATATTTAAGACACTAGGTGCTATACCCAACATTGTATATATGACACAAAACAGTCATATATACAATTTTAGGCTGGTTATCAAAAATCATTTTATAAAAATATAATAAAACTATATCCCTCTGTAGTAAAATTTTATGGTTTTCTTTTTTCTTTCTTCCTCCATTCCCGAATACAAAGGCCTTGTGTATGTTAGGGAAGTTTTCTACGAACTGGGGTATCTGAATGCTATTAAATGTTGTAATAGTTAAAGAAGGGGCCTGACCCTTGGGAAGATACTCCTACTAGAAGAATGTACTTTAGGTTTTAGTTCTGAAAGTAGTAGATCTAGGTCAGCTAGCAGCATATAATGCCTGATCCTTAAATTAGCACTTTGGTTCTTGTTAGTTCCAGGTCTGTCTTTCTGTCACAGGCTTGCTTCACTTTGCTTGAGTGCAACAGTATGTATGTATGTGGGCTGCTCCCTATCTGCTTTACAGCAATCGGCTGCTTCACACATTATCACCATCACTACCACCACCAAAACCATCATGACCACTGCTACCATCACTGCCCGTAGCCATCATCATGACCACTGCCTGCTTTCTCTCTCAACTTGGTTGGCTTATGTGTTTAGAAGGAACATGGTAAGAATGAGTTGTTCAGAATAACTGATGACCAGTTTCAGAAAAATAAAATCAGCAAGACTAGGTTAGCTCATTCCCTCCTGGCTCCACAAATACACTGGTTTCAGAGTACATCATACTCAGCAGTCAGCCCCACAAGGCAAACACAGCTCAAGTTACTTGTGATTCCACTAGCTACAGTCACAGAATGCATATTTATATATTTCAATTTCTAACACAAGACAGTAACTACCATTAAAACGTTACTTACCTCTTCAGGTGTTTTACCATATTTATTCTTTGAGTTTTTCACAATCAAAGGGTGCGAAGAAAGCACATTGACTACATCCACATTTCCAAATTTGCAAGCAAAATGCAATGGTGTATCAAAGCCCTAGGAAAGATGTAGAAGAAACATAATTACTTAAATTATTAACATGAAACGGTGAAAGTAGGTGTTTACTTAAAACAGTGGTTCTCAACCTTCTTAAGCCTGCAACCCTTTAATACAGTTCCTCATGTTGTGGTGACTCCCAACCCCCATAAAATTATTTTTGTTGCTACTTCATTAACTATAATTTTGGTGCTGTTACGAAGCATAATGTAAATACCAATGGTCTTAGGCAACCCCTGTAAAAGGGTCATTTTACCCGCAAAGGAGTTGCGACCCACAGGTTGAGAACCAATGATCCCCTCCTCCCAGTCACTCCCTTTCCCTTCCTCTCCCTTTCCCCTATGCCCCCCTCCCTTTCTCTTCAGAGGAGGAGAGACCTCCCATGGATATCAACCAGCCTTGGCATATCAAGTTGTAGTTGGAATGGGTGCATCTTCTACCGAGGCTAGACAAGGCTGTCAAGTTAGGGGAAAGGGATTCAAAGGCAGGCAACAGTCAGAGTTGGCCTAAGCCGTTGCTGTTAGAGGTCTCACATGAAGATCAAGCTGTAAGGGGGCCTAGGTCCATCCATGGTGGAGAACCACTGATTTATAACAAAGTCCACCAAGCCTGACAACCTGAGTTTAATCCCGGGGTGGAAAAAAGAGAACTGTATTCTGTGAATCTACACCCCCCTCACTCCCAGGCACACACACTAAATAAATACATAATAAAAATCGTGTTTTGAGGCAGGGTCTCACTATGTAGCCCTAGCTAGCTTGTAACTCCCTATGTAGACCATGGTAGCCTTAAACTCAGATCTTGCCTGCATCTGCCACCTGATATCTGGAAATTTTTTTAAAAAATTAACAATAAGTAACAAAGACTCAGACCTTCGTGATAACACTTGACAAGTGAATGTAGAAGGGTCAGGAATTGAAGGTCATTCTTAGCTACACAGTAAGTTTGAGGCCAGCCTGGATTACATAAGATTGCTCAGTGGTTAAGAGCACTGGCTCATCTACCAGAGGTCCCAGGTTCAATTCCTAGGACTCACATGGCAATCTGCTCACCTAGGCCTAGTCCCCTAGCCTCTATTCTGGCTCAAAACACCCCCCCAACCCCTGCATTAACTGATTCTCTCACCGCCCCAACCCCCACCTTTCTTGAACAGCTCTGCTTGATCTCACACTAACTCTAGCCATCTGTTCCAGTCTGCTGGCTCCTTCTCATTCTCTGGCTCATTTGTTATCACCTGTGTCTAGCTTGTTCTCTCTTCAACCTGCCTGTAAAAATCACCTGGTTAAACTGTTTCCTCCTCTCTGTTTGGCCCTTCCTTTGCACTACCCCTGAAGTAGCTTCCCTTTCCTCTCTCTTCTCATGAGAGTTGTGCATATACTATTTTGTCAAATCTTTCTGATTTATCACTTTGTCTACCACTCAACTAGACATCAATTTTAAACATGGGCATCCTTCTACAAACTGACTTTACCTTCATTGTAGGGATTAAAGGTGTATACTAAGGGTGAGCCACATCACAACTAGAAACATGTTTTTCCAGTAAATAACACAATCTCAGGGTTCACGGTGTGATCAAATATTCTGCAGAAGACATACATGCAGGCAAAGCACTATTGTACATAAAAATAAAATAATTAAAAAAAAGTCTCTGTCTCAAAATTGAACACCCCAAAAGACAAAAAAGGCCTCAGAAATAAAAAAGATACTGCTTTTACTGTTGGCAAAAGTACCTGGGATGCTAGCATACAGTCACTGCTTGCTAGGCCCTGAGCCTGGCACACTAATATCTGTCACTCTTCATTTGGTGTTAAGTGCCCAGATTCAAGGAGGCACTTACGATCAAAGAATACAGTCAACCTTAACTTTAATAATTTGGGACCCAGTCTATAATCAGGGAACCAGTGTTCTAAAAGTTGAGTAAGTTGGCTGGGCAAGATGGAGCTTGAACCTTTCAGATGTCAAAGCATAAGTAGGACAAACTGGGCATATGGTTACTATGTAAGGTGAGGCTCATCCTTTGTGACTAAGCCCTGATTGTGTAGGAATCTCAGTATCACCAGAGCTGAGCTGGAGAACATCCAACTGCCATCCCCCACACAGTTCTGATATCAGGGGGTTGTTTGAGGGTGTGGTAGGAGAAATTTGACTTTATTCCTATTTTTTTAAAAAATCTGTTTCTATAATTTTGTTTGGTTGACTACATTTCTCTTTAGTTTTACAACTTACTTCTATTGTAAGTTATCTCTAATTTCTTTTCCTATTTATTGTTTGAGACAGGTGTATTTTTGCAGCTATTGGGATCAATCTTCTGAGCCCCTAGGTAATTATAACAGAAATATGTTAGAAACAACAGACAAACAATAACTTTCAAATAAAAACAAAATAACAACAATGAAACCTACAAATTACCACTTTTTAAAAGAAACTAAAACTGTGGGCTCAGTGGTAGAGGGCTTGTCTAGCCTATTTGAGATCCTCGGTTCAGTTCCCAGCACTGGGTGTACATGAGTTTTAGGCTAGCTGAAATCACTTATAAAAATATATATCAAAGTAAAATTGTAAAATTTTACTCCTTTCTTATCATTTTTGTAGACCAGGTTGGCCTTCAACTAACAGTCCACCTGCCTCAGTCTCCCTAGTGCTTTCTTTTATTCTTTCCCAGTCTTCTAAACTCCCAGATTTCTGAGAGTTTAGTTCTTGGCTCTAGCCTGTCATTGAATTCTCCTTCATATAAAATAAATTCCTGTGTCTCAAACCCTTATTTAAGGCTTATACAACAACTAAAAGCTATACTTTTGAAAAGTCTTCAGAAATCAGTTTCTAAAATTTTTATTTATTTATTTATTTATTTATTTATTTATTAATTATACAAACTGTGTGTGTTCAGGTGCTTCAAGGTCAGAGGACAACTTGTAGGAACTGACTTTTAACTTTAACTATATAGGTCTCAGAGATTAACCCAAGGTTGTAGGTTTGCGGGGACAAGCTCCTTTCCCTGTTGAGCCAACTCACTAATGTTTCTTTCTTAGTGGTTCGAGAGATCAAACAGAGCCTTACATATGCCAACTACACACTCTTAACAAGGTTTTGTACCTTCTGTATTTTGGCATTCTTTCTAGTCACAGCCTAGCTGATGTCTCTTGACAGAAGGCTAGCCACCACATAGAATCCTCCATCTAGCTGCTTTCTGACTGTATGTCTACTCACTACCTGTGAGATCTCTTCATCAGTGAGTGTTACTTTTATAACCACAAATTTATTGGGGTTTTTTTGTTATCTTAATTATCTCATTTTATGTGTATGGTTGTTTTGTCTGCAAGTATGTCTGTGTGCAACATGTGTTCCTGGTGCCCAGGGAAGTCAGGAGGAGTCAGATGCCCTGGAAGCAGAGTTAGATGTTTGTGAGTGGTCAACTGGAAGAATAGCCAGTGCTCTCAACTGGCTGAGCCATGGGTTGGCTGGCTTGTTTTAACTAGTCTCACATAGCACAGATTTGCCTTAAACTCACTGGGTGCCCAAGGGTGACCTCAAGCTTCTACTCCTCTTGCCTCTACCTCCCAAGTGCTGGAATGATAAGCATTTATCACCATAGAGTTTTCTATGCTGCTGGCAATCTAATTAGGACTAGTTGACAACTAGGCAGGCACTCTACCTATTAAGCTACATGCCCCTGCCCTCCCTGTTCTGTAAGTTTCCTCTGAGACTGACATTTTCCATCCTTTAATGAAGCTCTTTAAACAGGAAGGAAAATAACTCAAAATAGCTTCAGGAAGTCCCTGAAATTGACTATATTTATTAGGTTCCTCCCTGCCAAAGTAAACAATAAAAACAAAGAGTACTGCTCATACTGAAGGAAGCTGAGCTGCAAAGACTCTTTGACAGAGCATATGGTAGTTTGAATAGGAATGGTCCTCATAGGTTCATAGATTTAAATGCTTGGTCACTAGGGAGTAGTACTATTAGGTGTGGCAATGTTGGAGTAGGTATGGCCTTGTTGGAGGAAGTCTGTCACTAGGGGTGGGCTATAGGGGCTTCAGAAGCTCCACCGAGACCCAGTGGCTCTCTCTTCTTGTTGCCTGTTGTCCCAATGTAGAATTCTTATACTATTTCTCCAGCACCACATCTACTTGCATGTGGCCACATTCCCTGCCATGACAATGGACTAAAAACCTCTGAACTGTAAACAAGCCCCAATTAAATGCCTTCCTTTATAAGAGCTGCCATGGTAACCATATCTCTTCATAGCAATAGAACACTGACTAAGACAGAAGCTGGTACCACCAAAGACTTGAGTATTGCTGTGATATGACTGTAGGCCTGACCTTTTGTTTTTGTTTTTTTGAGACAGGTTTTATCTGTATAGTCCTGGCTTTTGTGGAACTCAACTCTGTAGACCAGGCTGGCCTCAAACTAATAGAGATTTACGTGCCTTGGCCTCCCTAGTGCTAGGATTAAAGGTGTGCGCCACCAACACCCCTGACTATGCTTTGTGGATGAATAAGGAACGTTTTCGGACTCTGGAAAAGAAAACCAATTGGACACTTTAAGTGGGGCTTAATGGGACATGCTATCAGGAGCATGGGAGACAGTGTTGCTGAGGGGCCCAGCTGAACAAATTTCAGAAGGGAAGAATATTCATATGTGTCCTATAAACCATTCTTTTGATGTTTAGAAAAAAGAAAGAAAGAAAGAAAAGGTTGGGGGGCTGCTTTCACCCTTGTCTGAAAAATTTGCCTGAGGGTAAAATGAGTTTTGGATTAATGAACATGGCACAGGATATTTCCGGGCAGCCTATTTGGTGCTGTCTTGTTATTAATGGTGACTTTTATGCAGAACTATATAGAAAAGGAGGCAAGAAAAAATACAAAATGCAGTTTGAGGAGAAAAGGAACACCAGAAGTGTAACAGAGCTAAGTCCAGTGTCCAAGGAGATAAACAATTTAAAGAAAAGCCTGGTCCTAAATATAATAAAGGGAGTGGTGACTCTCTGGGCATCCACTAAACTTCCAACTTATGAAAAGGATTTCTAAGTTTTAATCCCAGCACTCAGGAGGCAGAGCCAGCCTGATCTACAGGGCAAGTTCTAAAGTAGCCAAGCTTAGCCAGTGAAAGAAACTATCAAAACCAGAAAGTTGGCCAACCCTGTCTTGAAAAAACAAAAACAAAAAACCCTAATCAAAACAAAAAACTGAACAAACAAATAACAAAACAAAACCCGAAAGCTGGTGGAAATGAATTTGAGGCCATGTTCCAGCCACAGCAAGCAGAAGAATAGGGGAGCTTTGGCCACATGCTTCTGGCCTTAGAGTCAAGGACATAAGAAAGTGTAGTAGATTCTCCCTCTACTGCTAAGCTGCTGCCATGTCAGGAATGACCCTGCATGGAGGCCCAGAGGGGCCATCTCATGAAACTGTGAAGGTGAAGCCTAGGTTGATTTGGAGACCCCAAGATGTTGGAGACGCCAGAGACAAGGGATACCTGCCAAGCAAAGCTGCAAACCAGGTATGGAAGCAATCCAAGAGACAGAAGTGTGTTGCTGTGGATGAAGGTGAACGGAGTTACAGATCTGAAGCTTTGATATCAGTATGATTCTAACAACTGTTAGGAAATCAACAGCTGTTGATTTTCAAACAGTGTTGAGATTATAGACTATAGAGCCTTTTGAAGTTGGACTAATGAATTTTTGCTTTGTGGCCCAAATGGAATGTGGTGATTTGAATAGGAATGGTCCTCACAGGCTCATGGATTTGAATGCTTGATTGTTACTCGGAGGAAATGTGTCACTGGGGGTGGGCTTTGGGGTCTTAACTCAATGAACTAAACCTTTGAATGTACCGCACGCCCTAATTAAATGCTTCCCTTTACAAGAGCTGCTGTGGTCACAGTGTCTCTTCACAGCCATGGAATATTAAGACAGACCAGCTGCCTAGAAAAGGGTCAGATCAACTGAGGCACCTGAAAAGAATACTCTTCTAATCTGTTGAGCTGCCTGCAGGCTATGTTCCAAGTTCCCAGTTAAACTGTCACCCATGCTAGGGTGGGCCCTGGTGATGCAACTGTCTTTAGGTCATTTCTGTTCCTGTAAGTAACCTCTCATCCATATTCCTAACACTAAGTTGGGCTTTGGTGGTATCTGTACTTTGGTCTGTCATGAGTTCCCCACATGGGAGTTCTCAATGTGTGTGCTGTGTCTCCCCAAGATAAGTCTTGTTATATAACACCTCATAAACATCTTTCTAAGTCAATGAGTGTTCTTGTCTTCCTAGTATTCCTAAGTCTTGCATGCTGATGTAACACAGAAAAAGAAAGAAAAAGAAGTACTCTCACATATCAGGAACCCAAACCTTTATCAGACAGACTAATGAGGAATACTTACCACTTTATCAGGAGTATTAAGATACAGGTCGACAATGTAGAGGATTCGCTTCTGAAGCATGTCCATGTTATCATCTGGGTACATCAGACGCATAAATTCAGGGTTCTCCAGGGTCTCTAACGTCAGCTGGCACACAGAAGCCTGATTCTCTTTGGCAGCCACATGCATGACATTGTACCTACATCCTTCCTGAAAGAAGACCACATGCTGAGCTTCACGTTTGTTAAAACACTGTCACTGATCAGGAACAAAGTGACCAGGAGTGATGTTAGAAGCATACGTACTTGTACAATGGTTGGGTTGTCCCCAGAACCAATTAGATAGCGAGGATTACTCCAGATCAGATCAGAAAAAGTGCGTTCTTCGCCCTTTTCAACAGCTTTCCGCAGCTGGGCAGTAAGGTCCTGTGTACGAGGGCTTTTATAACTGTTTGCTCGTTCTTTGTTTACTGTTTCTGATTCAGACAGGCACAAGCCATCTGCTATCAAGAGACAGAATTGAAGAACACTTAATTTGACAAAAACTTTCTTCTTACTTAGTCTACTGTGAGGTCTGTAGCCTCTCAACAGAGGATGAGCAGCTCTTGGGAGTGACATGTAGGAAGTGAAATGACACGGAGCACAGCACTAATGCAGTGCCAAATACAATCAGACAGCTGAAGACGGAGAGAAAGACAGCATTTTGTGTACTTTCTTTTTTGAGAAGATCTCACTATGTAGCCTAGGCTGACCTGACTTAGATCTACCTACATGTGCCTGCTGAGTGCTGGCATTAAGGGCATACACTACCATGTCTGGCCATTTAGTGCACTTTGAAGATAAGTCAGGAAGATATAACCTACAATCTGTATCTATAATAATATACATCATTAACATAATATAAACTAATGTAATATAATAATATAATCTGTATCCTATAATCTATAACTTATAATCCCAGTATTCAAGGAGTTGAGATAGGAGGACTGCAAGTTCAAGGCCAGCATGGATTAACATGATTGAGACCTTGTCTCAAAAAACCCAACTGTAATACTCCTTTACAGAAAAAGAGTTCCACATACAACTTTTAAGGGTTTAATCAAAACCTGAAAGTTTCGTAAAACAATTTCCTGCAGAGGCACTTTCCCAAACTGAAAGGAGAGAAATCCGAGTAAGGGAAGAGTAGAAGGCCAGAGGTCCACCTCAAACAACTGAAGAGACTTTTCCTACAAAGGATGTGAATCAAAGTCAAGTCTCTCCAAATAGGCCTCTGGTTTTGAGTCACACAGAGGGCACAGTCAGATTCCTAGCTCCTATAGGGAGACGATTCTTGCACATCCTAGAAGTAGGTGTACCTTCAGATGGGGTTATAGATTGTCAGCAACAAAATACCACAACTCAAACTATAGTGAGAGCCCCAAGAAGATGGAAGTGCTCCCTTTGCTGCTTCTGTGGTCCATATGCCAAGACTTGGCTCATCAGCTTCAGGGTCTACTAGCACCAGACTCCATCCACCCCTATGCCTTCAGACCTTCCCAGGGCAGCCCCCATCCCCTTTCTCTTTGGTTGTTCTATTGTAGGAAACCTCAGCTCCATACCTCCTCCTACACCAGATTTATCTCATAGATGAAGAAATCGAGGTGCCTGTCAAACATCAGGAAGAGAACAAGAGAGGAAACTGACAGTAATGACAAGGTAAGAGGTACAGAATCCCTTACCTTTCAACCCCTCACTGCCACAGAGGGGCACTGCCTTCACAGGAGACAGTAAGGACATGGTTTTGCTGGGAGAAGGTAAGTAATCACATATCCCTCTAGCAAATTTCTCAGCATCTTCTCTTGTTGGAAAAGCTTTAAACCGGGACCCTTTGATCAATTTGACAGCTTGTAAAGCTTCCTTTTTATCTTCGTAAACATGGATCCTATCTGGGTAAGAAAGCACCGAGGGAAAATTAAGAGAGGAACAGGCTGAACCGTGTATTAATTGTACCCAGCGTTCAGCAGTCAATTTACATTTGTTAACAAGTCTCTTGGTTTCCCTCTCTCATGTTCACAGTTCAGACTTTCAATCTTTTATGAAGATGTTTTTTAGGTCTGTGTGTTTTTTTTATAACTGTATGTATATAATGTGTGTGTGAATACCCTGGAGGCCTAAAGAGAATCTGAGAATCCCTTAGAGCTGGAGTCATATGTAGGTTATGAACCATCTAACATGTGAGCTGGGATATGCAAGATTATCAAGTGCCCTTAACCACTGAGCCATCACTCCACCTACTTTCCATTTTTTATTTTAAAGAGGTCCTTGGCTATCCAAAAATTCACATGAATACACTTGACAATGTGTGTGTATGTATATAAGCAAGCAATGATACATACATACCTATGTGTTAATTTCATATCCAAAGGTACAGTAACTTACAAAATGTGGTAAATTCATGAGAAGTCTGATAAAAAGTACATAACTTACTAAAAATGAATTTTAAGTGGATTAAAGATATAAATAAAAAATTCAACCGGGCAGTGGTGGCGCATGCCTTTAATCCCAGCACCTGGGAGGCAGAGGCAGGAGGATTTCTGAGTTTGAGGCCAGCCTAGTCTACAGAGTGAGTTCCAGGACAGCCAGGGATACACAGAGAAACCCTGTCTCAAAACTACCCCCCCAAAAAAAAAAAATTCAAACTTAAAAAATTGTTGGATCAGATACAATGGCTTATTCCTCTTTTTTTTGTTTTTTTGAGACAGGGTTTCTCTGTGTAGCCCTGGCTGTCCCAGAACTCACTCTGTAGACCAGGCTGGCCTCGAACTCAGAAATCCACCTGCCTCTGCCTCCCAAGTGCTGGGATTAAAGGCGTGCATCACCACCACCCGGCAGGCTTATTCCTGTTGTCTCAACAAGTCATAAGGAAAAGTCAGCAGGGTTGAGATTTGAAGCCCACCCTAGGCCATACAGCAAGATCCAGGCCTAGGCACATAGTATAATCCTTACTAAAATACAATTAATTACAAGTCTCTTCTTTCTTTCTTTTTTTTAAGAGATAGAATTTCTACATGCCAGCATCTATCCGAGTGCTGGAGTAATAGTTATGTGCCACCACTCCAGGTTTGTATGGCTCTGGGGATTGAATACAGAGCTCCATGCATGCCTGACAAATGCTCTACCAACTAAAATAGATTTCTAGCCCAAAATGGACAATTCCTTGTACAAAATTACAGTTGCACAATTGGTACATTTACATAATTGGTACATATTATATTGTTAACCTGAAAGCTGCTTTGGTTGTAATGAATTTAAGAGGGAGAAGGAAGATGATTAACCAGCAGTTACTAACAAATGGAAGTGAGCCAATTATTTGTAAGTCACATCTATCTGACAGAATCCATTTTCCTAGTAATTAAAAAAAGTATTCCTTAGAACTAAAAAAAAAAAAAGGAAGAATCAGAGAATCAGAGGGTAACAAATATGAATAATAAAATTAATCTTGGGTGGTAAGATTATAGATTCCAAGTTTGTGTAGGGAGAGACTACACAGCATGTTACCGTGTCTCACAAGGCCATCCTCATATACTGGACACACTCCATAGTACAGCAGTGGCTCCTTAGTAGCTGTCACTCCAGCCTTGTGGTTGTCATTCCTGGTAGAGGCACTGAAGGGTATCTGGTGGGCACTGGATGTTACTGCTTCCTCTTCTGGAGGGTTCAAGCCCACACTGTAACCAAAATCTTTGTCTTCAGAAAAACAGGCCTGCTGAGTTTCTTTCCCGTCCACAGATGCAGGAGTCCTTGAGGTGCCCTGAATAAATGCCATGGGAGTCACCTCGCTGTGCTTGGGAAGAGAGGAAGTCAGCAATCCACCTTGTTCTAGTAAGGCCTGCGCTAATTTCTTCTCAAAAATAAATCTTGTTGTTGATGTAATGGGTCCACATTTCAATCCAGCTTTCATAACTTCTTTTCTAAGGTCATCTGGATTCAAGAGTTTCAGTCGAGCCAACATGGCATCCATTGTCACCTCACCTAAGGTCAAGAAAGCAAGCATCAACGTGAACCACAGGTCTGGTGCTCAGTAGTTAAGCACATGCTTAAGAGTGCTCAGTTTCCTCACAGGATCCTACCTTAGATACTCTGTATTCTTATTCTAAAGCTATGCTTTTAACTTTAGTTGTTCAAAGAAGATTTGTCCCTGCAACTTAACACATAAACAGGACTTTATACATCACTACCTTCAACCTTAGGATAATTATTGAAACCCCAAGCCCGAGTTTTCTCACCTACAGAATGGAAATAATAATAGGTCCATTCTTTTGTTATAATGAGACTCAGATAAAATAATGAACATAAATTCTGTACCACTGGGTCTGACACTGGCATAATACCCATAAATGTCTGCTACAGCTATTGAACTGTTGAGGAACACAGGCTTATTAGTCCTCAGAATAAGTAATAGCACACTGGAAACTTAATTAAAATTAAAAACAAACAACAGCAAGAACAAAACCCCCTCAGACATTCAAGGGCAGCCACCTCTGACAAAAAGAGGCCACAGCTGCTCTCCAGAAAGCCTCTATTAACAAAACAGGTGAGGGCAATAACTCACTATTGGAACTCGAAATGTTAGCACAACCTTTGCAGTCTTAGAAAGACAAATAGATTGATAGAGATATGAGAGGTTGAATTAGGTCTGTAGATTAGACAACAGTGTTCTGCCACTGTTAATTTCCTCGCCATACTTGTGGTGTAATTATGGAGTATAGAAAGATCTAGAGAATCTAAGCCAATAGTATATAGACTTCCTTTACCTTTTTATTTTGAAATAATTTGTAGACTCAGAAATTGTAAACTCTGGAGAGTTCAAATTGGCCATCAGCTTCCCCTAAAGGTCGACACTTTTTATAATGATAGCACATCATCAAAAACAGGAAACTGACTTCATATAACAATTCAATGAGCGGACTTGACTTGCTAATCAATGTAGGTTCTATCCTTTTTTGAGTCTCGATGTACAAGATTATACCAGCATACCACATCCACCCCATCCATCCATCTACCCATCATCCATCCATTCACCTATCCAGCCAGCCAGCCAACTATCCTGGGTCAGACAATAAATTTTCAAAGCCAGCATGCTGCATATTTTTGTAATCCTAGCCCTTAAGGCAGGAGGATCATGAGTTTAAGGCCAGCCTAAGGTACATAGCAACAACATTAAACAAGTAAGTTTCATTTCTCTAGGACCAAAGCTTATTTCTCTAGGACAGGGAAGGCTTAACTTCCTTGAGACACTGCTAGACTAATCTCCATTAACAGACACATCAACAATGCAGGAGAGGCATCTTCTCAGCATCTGCAGACTTTTGCAAACATCAGTATTTTTAAATCTTAGTCAACCTAATAGGTATATGCATAGGTGATTTCAAAATGAAAGATTAAAAACTGGAAAGAATTTTTTAGTGAAACGGGATGCCGCCGACACTGGTGTTTGGCTCTATACACTATTAGCCACATGCACTGCTCTCCTTCAGTGTCTGGATCATTTTCACTGTGACATTCTCTCTTGGTACAGTGTTCTCTGATTAAACGGACTAGCGCGCACTATACTTATTAAAGATGCCTTCACTGCTTTGTGCTTTCCTACAATTGCATGTACAGGTGTGTGTGTGTGTATTCCCAAGTCAGAGACTAGCCACTTCCTTTTTAAAATTCAAATGTTTGTTTTACATCCTGACCACAGTTTGCCTTCCCTCTTCTCCCCTTTCCTCGACATCCCCATCATCCAGCCATGGCACATCAAGTTGCAATAAGACTCTGTGCTATTTTCTTAGGGGGGCAAAAGAATGGAAAACACAAAAGACAGGGTATTGGCCCTATTGTCACGACACAAACATCTCATCTCTCCACAGCCATGTAAAATAACCAGCACGACCCTGAACTTCCTGTTCCCATTTCTTGAGCAAAAAGCCTCCCCCCCAAAAAAACAAAACAACAACAACAAAACAAAAACAAAAACAAAACAAAAACCCAAGAAACCAATGACTACTAAGAAAGGGTTGATAGGTACGTCGGTGGTAATTATTTTAAATAATTAAAAATGAAATTGCGCAGGGTGGTGGTGGCGCACGCCTTTAATCCCAGCACTTGGGAGGCAGAGGCAGGTGGATTTCTGAGTTCGAGGCCAGCCTGGTCTACAGAGTGAGTTCCAGGACAGCCAGGGATACATAGAGAAACCCTGTCTCGAAAAACAAAACAAAACAAAAAAAAATTGCGTTTAAGTTCCCAGTAGCAAATGGAGCCTCAGTTATTCATAAGATCTTGTTAGGGTTGGCTTTTCTCTAAAGTTCTAAGGTTTAGTCAACGGTTTAAAATGTCATTTTCCTTCTAGAATATCTGGGGGCCGGGGGGATATTACTATTCATCTTCCACTGCGAACTAGATTTAAGAGAAAGTGTTAGTGAAAAGTGGCTTCTCAAGAACACATACCTCGTAAACATGGGATTATAGTGTAGGGAGGTGGAGGGCTGTGAGTTCTTATCAGGAGTTCCCAAAACACTCGCCAATGGACTCTGGTTGCGACAGGGTCCTACCGCATCCAGGGGGCGGGGAGAGTGAGGCTTTCCTCCCACGACTAACGCTGCCTTACCTGGCTGAGCGGCCACCGCTTCAGACGCGCCGGGCGGAGAAGAGAGTGTCCCGCAACGGTTCACGTCCCGCGGCCGCTTCTCCAGCCGCCGGACCAGCCAGCGCACGGCGATGAGCAGCACGGACGCGCCCAGGAGCTCCCAGGCCAGGGCCGCCCACTCCACCACTGCCAGCCGCTGCCACAGCATCGCCACCGCCGGCGCCGAGGCCTTGAGCGCGGCCGCCGCAGCCACAGCCCGCGCCGCGCTCGCCTCGGGCCCTTAGCTGTCCGCTCGCCTCGCTGCCGGAGCCGCGCCTGCCTCAGGCCTCCTCCGCCCGGCCGTGGGAAGACCAGGCGGGCTGCGCGCGCAGTGTGGGGCCTCCCGTTTCCAAACGACCGGACCGGAACGCGGCCAGGACCGCACCCTCAGGCGGCCTCGGAGGCAGCTGGGGTCCTCATTCATGCGAGCGCAGCCGGGCAGTAGCGCGGGCAGCACACCGGGGTCCTGAGTCGAACACGGCGCGCTTCCTCCTTTGGTGTAATGGGCGCGCCGCCCTGAGTTGTTATTTCTCATCTGGAGAGCGAGTGCCGGCTCCTGAGCCACCCAGACTGGGTGCCATCCCGAGGCCAGCGGAGCCGGGCGGCAGAGTCCTTGACTGGTAGGGGCTGAGGGTGAAAACTGCGGCCAAGTCCAGAAAGCCTGCTCTGTAGCTGTGCCTCCTTTTGTTGATGGAGATGTTTCTCTGGAATTCAGCGGACCCTCCAGGCAAAACGCCCAACGCGAGTCACCGTGCCAGGCTGCTAGTTATAATTTTTGAAGCCTTTTCTAACCTGTGTTTTTCCTTTTTTGAGTCTTAACTGTATACCCCCAAATTGGCCTTATGCTGGAGACCTGCCTCTTTGAGCTCGCAGAAATGCTGCGATTAAAAGCATTCGTCACCATAATTTCACTTCTGACTATAGATCACGAGGGGACCGAAGTCTATGGAAACCCGTGATGGTGTAGAGGCTTCTCACATGTACTTTGCGCGGTCTTCTGCAAGAAGCGTGCAGGCTGCTTATTTAGGGCCGTAGAAGGCAGAGTGGAGGGTTGACGCTGGGATGGAGGCCTGTTCTGTTCAAATGTGTACCCTACTTTCCTGCCAATGAGGACTTTATAAGATCGGTTCTCACTATCCGAAGAGGGTGGCCTGAGGAATGGCCTAAAAAGGCCGAGTGGAGGCCCCAACGCGTTATGTGCATAATCAATTTACAGGCCACCGGCCAAGAGTCAGATATGACTTAGTCAGTCATGACCCTTCAGGTCATGTGTTTAGTTAAAGATGTTACTTACTCCTCAGAACAGACTCAGGGAAGCCTGCTGAACTAGATATAAAACAAAAAACCAACCAGATGACTTGAGAAATGCTAAGATGAATTTCCAGTTACTTTTACAGCCCCAGGATTTAGAAGGTCAATTACACATATTTCAGTTTAGCTGGTGGTAGTGGTGCACATCTTTAATCCCAGACAAAAGCAAGTGAATCTGTGTTCGAGGCCACCCTGGTCTACAGATCGAGCCCAAGAGGCATCCAAGACTAAGTTTTGAAACCCTGTCTCAAGAAACCAAAATAAATAAGTAAATTTAATTGTAGACAGAGGCAGATGGGTAAAGTAGTATTAATTCCTTCAAGAAACAGGTGCAGGAATATGTCATAGAGCAGTGGAGAACAACCTTTTTTTTTTGTTTGTTTTTTGTTTTTCGAGACAGGGTTTCTCTGTATAGCCCGGGCTGTCCTGGAACTCACTCTGTAGACCAGGCTGGCCTCGAACTCAGAAATCCGCCTGCCTCTGCCTCCCAAGTGCTGGGATTAAAGGCATGAGCCACCACCGCCCGGCCAGAGAACAACTTTTAATGTTTTGTCGTTTGCTTCCTAATTGTGTTTATTTAAAAAGACCATTGTTCATTAAAACTTAGATCTGGGTGTAGTGACTAAAACATTTACTTGAAATCCAGGAAGCTGAGGAGGAGGATCTTGAGTTCAAGGCCAGCCTGTTTCAAAAACCAAAGACTTACCAGAAATGTACTATACTTTAAGAGATCTGGACATACGTTGTTATATGCAGTTGGTCTCATCTCATAGAGAATTCAGTAGAGACTTGGGAACAGCAACAGCCAGGAGCCTGAGATTCTCAGGCAGAGATATGCTAGTTTGTATAACTAAGCTAAGAAAAACAGCAGGCCAGGAATAATGGGCTGTAGCTAGGCCAACAACAGGCTTGCAAGTGGTCTGGACTTACTTTCAGAATGACAAGGTATGTAAGTGTTGAGAAAGCCCAGTTTGACCTTCCTGATGGTGATAGTGAAGTTACACAGAAGTGGACAAATGGTAGTGCAATGCATATAGAAATGCTAATTAAATGTTCAGAAAACTTAATGTGGGGTCTATGAGTCAGGGCTGTTCCTCCATTGAGTTCCACTACTCTAGGATATTCATACAGAACACACAAGAGCATTTTACTGTGAAGGTAATACTTTACATATTTAATATATATATAAAATCTCCTAGGAGCTTCTGGAACTGACTTGAGGAAGAGTGAGCACTTCTTACCTGGGCTGCTACAACTGCAGCCTAGTAGGTGCCATCTTCAACTCTTAACTCTGGTTCAATTATAGAACACAAAAGACCTGTGAATGTAGGTGGTTGTGACTCTAGAGTTAAGCAACCATTATTTTTGGGAGTTCAGCTGTGCCCCTTGTAAAAGGATTATCCCAGCTGGGCTTCCTGACTGTATATCCCCTCATGAAAACCTCACCTGAGTATGTAGCTGCTCCCTACCATATGTTGTATTTGGAGAGGCGAGAGAGTATAAACAATGGGGAAAACTAGAAAAGGAGTGCTCTATCTGTGCTGCAGGGTAGAGGCTTCCCAACTGCACCTATGTTCCTGTAATTACCCTTGCAGCCATGCCCTGTAAAGAACCCCAATAAACTCATTGGTTCCCCAGAGTGAACTTAACGTTGTTTACATCTCCCTGGGAAGGAACTTTGGCAACAGGTCACCACCCAGTTTACTTTGGGAGCCAGGTTCATGCCATTATAAGGGCCATGAAGATGGAGACAGAAATAGTGCATAGTTATACAAAAGTTGAGAAAGGGTAGTGAATGGCACAGATTGTAAGAATTCTTACATACTTAGGCTTGGGAACTCTTCAATGGTTACCCATTGTGGGGGTTTGAATGAAAATGGCCCCTAAAAACCTCACAGAGAGTGGCATTATTGGAGGTGTGGCCTTATCCGAGAAATTCACAGTGGGTGGGCTTTGAGGTGTCAGATGCTTAAGCCAGTGTTACTCTTCCTGCTACCTGCTGATCCAGGTGCAGAACTCTCAGCTACCTCTCTAGCACCATGTTTCACACCGCGACAATAAAGGACTAAACCTCCAAACTGTAAGCCAGTCCCAATTAAACGTTTCCCTTTATGAGAGTGGTGGTTGCTAGGCAGTGATGGTGCAAAACTTGAATTCCAAAACTTGGGAGGAAGAGGCAGGAGGATCTACAGAGTGAGATCCAGGACAGCCAGGGCTAACAGAGAGACCCTGTCTCTGAAAAACTGAAAAAGAATGTTCACAATTTTATCTTGTTTGGAATTTACCAGTTTTTAATGTTAAATAGAGAGCTAGCTTATTTTTTCTAAATAGGCTTTTGCCTAATTCTCATTTATACATGTACACACACACACACACACACACACACTCTGCTGTGGTCATGGTGTCTCTTCATAGCAACAGAAACCCAAACTAAGACACCCATTATGGATGGCAGGGGTGTTAAAATAACCCACTTTATTTCCTCAGAACTTGCTTCTAATACTGCATAAGCTATCAGGTTTCTGAGTGCCTCAGGGACTTATACACTGAGCTTCACAAATTCTTCTTTCCCACGCTTAATTTAAACTGTGTGGCTTATTAGTTGCTTTTACTTGAAATAGGCCTGTATAATTCATTGATCAAAAATAAAGGGTGAATGAAAAATAGACAAAGTTGCTTGAGATATGAAAATTAAGCCAGCAGAAACTAGATGCTCTACTCACACACATGCTTTTGCAAGTATGCTCCTTCTTAATGGTTGACGGTGGATGCAGGTCAATGAAGAGAAATGGTTACCATGCTACTTCTGCTGGTTTAATACAACAAGGGGGTGCATCTTCTTATCCTCCCTCAAACTTTGGTAGGAAACAATGGTTCGAAACAACATGAGCTACAAAAGCTACTCCCAAATATGACAAAATGCTAGCACTAAAAAGGAAGCCCTCCCCAATGAATTATGAAAACCTTTACCAAAAATAGTTTATTGCATAAAATGTAAGGACTTCCCAAGCACACTTATATTAAAAAAAAAAAAAGGCAAAACAATAACAGCAACAACATGCCTTTTGAAGTTACAGTTTGTTACCAATGATGACAGCTTCCCTGGGAAAGCCCCAACATGAAGACTGACTCCCTTGTGAGATAACTTTTTATATAAATGAGAAACTCAAAAAGCACTGAAATGTTGGACCCTCCAAACTGGACAAGGACCCAAAGATCCTGTCAGAATCTTTGACCACTACAGACTAGACTGGGCTAGAATTCCAAACTGCTGAGCATGTTAGGATGAGTTGGGGTATCTTGTACCACAGTGCTATTCTTATCACTGGGGTCCTCCAAGGCTCCCAGACTTTCTTGTCTCAAATGTGATGGTCCCTTTTAAATCCAAAATCTTCATCTGCCAATTTTTATTTCAAAATATATGAAAAATATATGTCATAGTGACCTATAAGACTATGGCTTTTACAGTATCCACATACTGATAAAGTTTTTTTTTTTTTGAAATGGAGAAGAATTTAACCAAGCTTTCTGATTTATACACTAAGACTACCTTCTGAGACAGCAGGTCCTGCTCCCTGTACCCAAAGTTCATGTAAAGTCATCCTTACATCTTCTCAAAATCAATGCCTGCTACACTTGTGTAAAAATCTAAAATCACGGCATCAATTGGACAACAACCATAAAACAATGATAGAAATTTCATGGCAATTTTTTTTTTAACATAAGAAAACCAACTAATAGTACAAATCATGCCAGCCAAGGTGTCCAGTAAAGGACATGATACAGCACTTATGACATGTGCACAAAGGGTACCCAATGGTGTGAGCCTGCCTGAAAAAGCAACCTTCCAGATCTGCCTGCAGTTTTTCATGAGCAAATCTAAAATTCCCAGTTTTGGCTGCAGAGGCAACAGTAATCAAGCTATATTCACTCAAGTACAAGCTCAAGGAGGTGAACTACAATGGAATCCCTTAGATCCCTCTTAGGAAAGAAAAAGCCAAATCAAACAAACAAACAAAAAAGGAAACTTGAAAACTCAACTTCAAAGTGACTTAAAGAACCCTTAGAGAATGCCAGTTCCAATCTAGGAGTTCTCTGAACCACAAATGCGAGAAAAGACACATTGGTGCACAAAGAGGGACAGAGAAAGAAGCCAAGACATGCCAGGCCTTTCATGGAGCCAAGAGGAACCTAGCAAGGACCCGCAAGGCAGACTACAAAGTATAGAAGAAGTGCCATTTCTGAGGGTGTACGTGTACATGGGACAGCAAAGCAACTGAAAAAAAAAAAATGGGTTAAGACGTGAAACCAACCTTCACTTGAATGAGTTCAAAACTAGCTTATCCTTTCCTGGAGAACACAACACAACTCACTTGAAGATCTCTTCACATAGGAGAGACTAGCTCTGTTGCAGAATTAAGTCCAAAACCAAGTTCTATTCCTTAGTTTTGACATTAAATATACAAAATAAATAGGAATGTAAATTACCATCTTTTTCTAATTTCTAACTTAGAGATTTATAATAAAGTTTTAAAGTTTTTTTTTTAAAGATTAACCCTGTACAAATGTTCCAATACTTGCTAGAGAATATTTTTCAAACACCAGACATCACTGGATAGTTCTACTTTAACCACATCAGTAAACCTTCTAATAGGATATTGTAAGAGAACAGATTTAAAATGCCATACTGATTTTCCACAAAATAGACAAGAAACCCACTAAAAGACACCAACTAATTGATCACTGATACTTAGAGCTTCCTACTTCAGACCTTTCTCTCTTTCCCTTCTAACAATATTTCAGATCTTTTTTTGTTGTTGTTCCAGCTTGTCTGTCTTTTTGAGTCATGGTTTCATGTAACCCAGTCTTGCCTGAAACTTGCTATGTAGCTGAAAACTAGTCTTGAACTAACTGATCCTCTTCCTGATTCTATCTCCCAAGTGCTGGGATTACAGTCATGAGTCAAAAAACTTTAAAAATTTAAATTTTAAATTTTCTTCACAAGAATTCACAAAGATTAAAGACCTCAACTTTTCTAATTAGTCAGTTTATAAAGCATTATTATGATTTGGGAAGCATATGGCAATAAATCATACACTTAGTGCTAACTTTAAACAAGGCTTTTATCTCTTGACCCTGTCTCAGAAGACCAAAGTTGCCTACCTTCTTCCAGGTATTACTCTGACTTCTTGTGCCACAAGTATTTAATAGAGGTCTATGGTAGTTCCTGATGATCACACAGACAGACATTCACAGTGCTTCCTAAATCACCATCTTTGGGACACAGTATATGTAGTCTATAACCCACACAGATCAAGGCTGCCTCCTCTCCTACTCTTTTCCTCTACCAGTGTTCTCCAAATGTCAGGTCAGTATGAGGAGACCTTGGAGGTCCTTTCATCCCCTGCTAACTACAAGGCCTGACTGGCCTTGCCTGTTGGTAAGCCAAAGTGAGTAAAACCATGTAAGGCCATAGACCTGAGAGGTCAGTGTTATTAATTCATGGAGATGTTGGCAGAAAAGACCCTCAAATAAAAAGACTAAATAAAACTAAAACAACTGTGTCAAGAGTATTTGGTTTTAGGATGCATAGAAAATAAGTTACATTTCTTAAAATACATTTTTAAACTGATACCCCTAAAGCTACATGTATACTGTTTCCCAATAGCAAATTTTCAAAAGGAAATCAGTAAGACAATTAGGTTCTTAAATAATATAGGTATATGTTTTCAAGAGACTTTCAATATTTATATATACATCCTACTTAGGTAGAATAGTTTAAAAAGCAAATGAAATAAAAAGCAAAAGGTGTCAATGAAAACTCATTTATGTAGTAAAGTAAAGGTTTTATGTGTGTCTACAGCCACATGTAAGATTCCTTCCTTCTGCAAATGACTGTTCAGATAGACACACTCAGATTTCACCAACAGTTCAAACTCTGATGTTTTTAAGATTTGGTCATTTCATGGGAAAAGCTAGTTGTGGTTTAAAGTGACTATGTTTTTAATCCTTGCCTCATTTTATTTATTTATTTATTTATTTATTTATTTATTTATTTGAGACAGAGTCTCTCTTTGTAGCCCTGGCTGTTTCTGGAACTATTGATCTGTAGACCAGGCTGGCCTCAAACTCACAGAGATCATGCCTGCATCTGCCTCCTGGGTGCTGGGATTAAAAGTGTGTCCCAGTACCTCCCAGTTTTTTTTGTTATTTTAATCCTTGATAAAAGAAATTTAAATCTCATTTCTTAAAAAAGGGAAAAAAAAGCCACCAGAGCATTCAATCAAATAAATAATATTGACAAGAGTATTTCTTCAACAGCCACAAATACTTGGTGATGAGGACAACAGTGGTCATTGGCCCAGCCCTTCTCTGGGAACACTGTTTTGATTAAGTGGTTTTGTGTCTCCCCGGGGGTGGGCATGCTCTGCTGGGGCAGCTTCCACCTGAGCCCACGAGGACAGGGACTCATGCACAGTGATGGTATGCTCCTCCATCTGCCGCTGTAGACTGTCCATCTCCTGCCTGAGGAGACAGAGAGAAGGCAGAAGAAGAAACCTAAATCATACAAGTATCAGACAGACCCACAGCCACAGCGCTAACAAGCTACAGTGAACGCAATGGGCTCATCACAGGTCGTATGTGTTTCTCTCAAAGACCAATATATGTTATCACAATAGACCAGCAAAACCAGCTGGACTCTGTTGTTTGTTAGTAACAAAATCTCCATCATTCATTTTACTAACGAAGACTCAGGAGTCAGATGCTGGGGTGAAAGCCTGCTAGCTCAGAGAGGCAGAGAAAACTTCCAGCTGACCTTCCTTCTCAGTGACAAACCAAAGAAAAAGGAAGCTCTCCTCCTCCACCCAGTCTCAAAAACCCCTCAAACTCAACGTTCCACCCTTTGACATCCTGTGATTTCTCTATCTAGCCCCTGGACTTTCTTTTTTTTTTGGTTTTTCAAGACAAGGTTACTCTGTGTAGCCCTGGCTGTCCTGGAACTCACTCTGTAGACCAGGCTGGCCTCGAACTCAGAAATCTGCCTGTGCCTGCCTCTGCCTCCCAAGTGCTAGGATTAAAGGTGTGTGCCACCACTGCCCGGCCGGACTTTCTTTTATTCTGTTTTTTTTTTTTTTTCCCTCCTATGTTCACTCCTTGCCAACTGGTTGATTGGGCCTCCTCTAGACTTATGGTTGATTTTATTTAATCTTGTTAACAATAAACAGAAAGCTCTTAGATAAAAGGTGTGTGCTGGGCTGAGACACATTACAACTAGAAACAGGTTTTTCCAGTAAATAATATAATCATGGGGTTCCTAATGTTATCAAATATCCAGCAACAGGAGCCAAAGAAGGCAAAAGTTCTTGATATTTTTTTTTTCCCACTCTGGGCAGAAGCCAGCAAACAATCTGATATAAGTTTCTGTTTTCTGAGAGGTGATTCCATTAGGAACATGACACAGACCTGACGGCCTGATGCTAATCAAGTTGCTGTCTAGAAGCTGTCACCTGAGGCTATTGTCACATGTGATTTCCCCCAACAAGGTCACCTGCCTATCAGGATCCCATGTGCCATATAAAGTTCATGATGTTGGTCTCTTCTGTCCTAAACTAAGAGGCTCAGCGTACAGGGAACAGGTATAACACCTGACCTTTAAGGCCCACCAAGACTTACTCAGCTATTTTCACCTTACAACATGGACCTCCAGAAGCTCTGTCAGTAAAAAAAAAAATCTTGTATTTCACAAGAGGTTCAAAGTCATAGGTACTCTACAAACAACAGAAGAGATGCCCCCAGGAAAAACATGTCATGTCTAAGTGCTGAACAAAATGAGGCATAGAAAACAGATCATACTTGAGCTGCTGCAAACAGCTGTTGAGATTCTTGAGGGGCTCCTTGCTCACAGCCGGTGGGGGCCTCAGCAGCTCTTCTAGCAATGAGGCTGGCACAGGGCAGTCTGGTATCTTGATGGGTGTTGCAGGACTGGATGAGTTGGACTCACCTTTTGGCTCTTTCTTCTGTTTGTAAAAGCACAACATTAGCTCTCTTCATCTCCACTGTGATGACTGACCCTCCCTGCATCCCCACTCTGAGAAGAGGACTGAACTGCCAGGTCTATGAAAACAGATAGTTAGTAGGTTAAGATATACTAGCCAGTCCAGTAATCCTAATGCACTTAGTTAAGCACAAACCACTTGTGCATGACCCTAAGGAGAAATAACAGAACATGTCATTAGAACTCTCTTATGGAAGTTTCCTGAGATATAAGCCTATACTTGAGCTTCCCTAAGAAATTAGGCAATACTTACTTCAATTGTGCAAAAATTATCTGCCAGCTATTTCAACCCTCCATCAGGGCTGATAATAGCATGAAGCTCTTACCTGAGCCAAGCTGAAGGCACTGTGTCCCACAATGACAGCATATCATGGCAGTGTGTTCATTAGTTTAAAATAGTATCACAGCAGGATGATATGTGTTTGAGAAGAGAAATATTCTCTTGAACAAGGTAACAAAATAAAGTTGTTTGGCCACTGTCCAAGCAGAGTTATGATCTTTGTGCACAAGATAGTTCAATGTTGCTTAAATGTTTTTGATCTGTTAATGACTAAACCTGCCAATCTCCTGCTTCCAGCCCCCTCCCAACCCCCCAGCCAAAATCTAAATGAGACAGACAGTTAACTTGTAAGGGATGAAACCTAAATCCGACCTTGGCTGCACCACGGCGGAGATCCAGCTTGAGCTGTTGGTTCTGCTGCAGCAGAGTCTTCATGTTGTTCTTCAGTTCAGACACTTTGGCTTGAAGCATAAACTTATCCTTCTGGGTCTCAGACAGATCTTCCTGTACCATTTCCAACTCAGACTTCACAGTCTAAGGAAAAGGATCAGATATTTTTTAAAGCTAAAATATCCTAGTTGAGTGGCTCATGTCTATAATCCCAGCACTAGTGAGGTTCAGGAGGCAGAAGGATTAAGAGTTCAAGGCCAGAACTAATAATAACTGGCCCAACTTGAGATTCATCCCTTGCACAGGAACCAATCCCTACCACTGTTAATGATATTCTGTCATGCCTATAGAAAGAAGCCTAACGTAACTGTCCTCTGAGACTCCACCTAGGAGTTGACTGAAAAAGATGCAGAGACCCACAGCCAAATAGATGGAGCTTGGGGAGTCTAATAAAAGAGTTGTGGGAAAGATTGAGGGCCCCAAAGGGAAAAAACTCCACAGGAAGACCAACAGAGTCAACTAACCTGGACTTGGAACCTTGGGGGCTCCCAAAGGCTGAACCACCAAACCAAGCAAAGAACATATATGGGCTAGATCTAGGCCCCTCACACATATGAAGCAGATGTGCAGCTTGGTCGTCACGCCAGTCCCCCAACAAGTGGAGTGGGGGGGTGTCCCTGAATCTGTTGCCTGCCTATTGATCCTATTCCTCTAACTGGACTGCCTTGTCTGGCCTCAGTGGAAAGGACATGCTTAGTGCTGCAGTGACCTGACCTGACATGCCAAGGCAGGTTGGTATCCAGGAGGGCTTCCCGTTTCTCAAAGGAGAAGGAGAGGGAGAATGGAAGGAGACTGTGTGAAGGAGGGAACTGGGAGGAGGGGGTGGGCTTTGATCAGGATGGGGAAAAAAAGCAAGAGTTCAAGGCCAATTTTAGCTACACATCAAGCTGAGGTCATAAGAGCTGGGCTACATAAGAGCCAGTCTCAAAAAATAAATATCTTAAAACATACTTTAAGATATTAACTTGTACGTCAGTTAGGGGAACATATGTTTTGCTAGGGTAAGTTTTTTTTCAGCTAAGCAGTTTCCTAGGCATTGACAAGTTCACTGAAATCAAACCATTGGCTTTTAAAAAATATTTATCAAAGTTTTAATTATGTGTATCTATCTGCCTGTGCATGTTCACATGCACATGAGCACAGTTGCCTGTAGAGGCCAAAAGAGAGAGCTGGATTTTCCAGAGCTGGAGTTACATTTGGTTGTGAGCTGCCTTACGTGGTGCTGGAATCTGAACCTGAGTCCTCTGGAAGAATAACAAGAGCTTCGAATTGCTGAGCCATGTCTGCAACTCCAACCCTTAACATTATTATTATTATTATTATTTTGGTTTTTTCAAGACAGGGTTTCTCTGTGTAGCCCTGGCTGTCCTGGAACTCACTCTGTAGACCAGGCTGGCCTCGAACTCAGAAATCCGCCTGCCTCTGCCTCCCAAGTGCTGGGATTAAAGGTGTGCGCCACCACCGCCCGGCTTAACATTATTTTTATAGTGATTGGTTGGCTGATTTACGTGTGAGTGCTTATGTGTGTTTATGTGTAGCATGAAAATGCAAGAGCCCTCAAGAGGCCAAGACAGGGTGTAGACTCTTTGGGAGTTGCAATTATAGAAAGCTGTGAGCTACTAGTTGAGTTCCGAGAACCAAACCCAGTAAGAGCAGTAAGTGCTTGCTCTTAATTGTTGAGCATCACTCCAGCATCCCTGACAGTTATCATAGAGTCTCTTCCAAATGGCAATATCTGGATTGCCACAGTTAATACCTAAGAATCTTTAAATTCCAAAGTCAGCTATTAGAATAAGTTAAACCATTCCTAAGAAACAGTATAAACCAATCTAATGACTTGAGCCTTTAAAAACAAGTGAGGAATATTATTAGCAAGTTCTGGTCTTTTCCCTGAGTAGTAAAGACTACTCATTTGAACCTTCATGGAGAAGTTGATCATAAACTAAGCACACATTGCATATTGACACTACTCACTAGAGCTTAAAAAAGCATGTTTCTTGTACTTACATTTTATATAGCCTAACAAAGGGATAGTGCTTGAGTTTGTCTCAGTTTCTCCTCCATTCAGCATGTAACCTAAACCAGGTAACCATGATGAGCCCCATTCTAAAATGGGGACACTGTCTTCAGATTACTCGGGTGGGGTCAGGGAGCCCAGATGATGATCCACTTCAATGAGAACTCCTGTTACATGTGTGACACTCAGCTTGGCTGGGACTGTATCATTTCAGCACAGATCCAGGACCCTGGACAGGGATAGGACCAACCTGAAGTGTCTGTTGTGTACCCTCTAGTTCTTTCTTGCCCTGCTGCTCTGTCAAGTCAAGCTGCTGCTTCAGGGACTGAATCTCTCGTTCTTTCTGATCCAATTCCCATTTGAGATCTTCCATCTAAAGAACAAAGGCACATGATGAAGACAATTTTAAAAAGCTGTCTTATACTGAAAAACAGTTCTAAGGGATTTCTTCTATTCATCTTTTAGTATTATTACATTTTAAAAAGCATATACTTTCTGTCTGAGCAGTAGGAAAACAGGGGCCTAGCTGTCACCTCTTGGCTCCCTGTTGGTTGTTGGTTCATCTGCTCATCTAGCTTCTTCTGTAGGAGCTGGAGCTGGGTTCTAGCTTCTGCCAGCTCAGTCTGGAATTGGGCTATTTCTTGAGAATGTTTTCCCTCCTGAATCCTGGCGTTTAAACAAACAAACAAACAAACAAACAAACAGGTTAAAAATAAAATGAGAGGATTCTCTCAATTCATGGTGAGACTTCTTATCATTGGCTAAAGACAGTGTGGAGTCCTTCCGATGCTCTAGCCCTGCACTAACCCTGCAAAGCCCTCTGTACTCTGTACACTCTGTTCACAAAGCTCAGATGAGGGTGCTGTCAGACACGTTCATAACACAATGAACAAAGGCCTCGGAAGCTTCTGTAGAGGTGTGTGCAGCCTAGGTTTATCCTGCCTTTTTCCTCATGTCCAAGTTCATACTCTGTTGGTGTGATGTTACAATGAGTCTCAAAATATCCAAGATATCCCTCGACTGAGTATTCAAATGGGGGTTCTTTCTATTCTAGGAAGAAGTCAAGGAAGATAGATAATCCTTGCTGTGAGATACAAAATGAATTAAAGATAAGAGAAAGCCCCAATTGCTCTGATGTGGTATATGGAAAATGATTGAGATCACCATGGCCAGCCCTGGGGTATGCTTGTGCAAGCCTCAGGTACTCACTGGAGCTCATCCACCTCGGCCTGCAGTGTCTGTACCAGGTGTTCTTTGGCCTGCAATTCTTTCTTCACTTCACTCAGCTCCAAAGTAGCTGCCTTAAAGTGGCGGCGGTTATGTCCAGCTTCTATCCTAGCAGCAGCCATCTAGAAGAAGGTGAGGAAGTTGACATTACTCACATACAAGTTGTACCATGATGAATGCTACAAGTTTGATGGAATATCAAGTACCGGCACTGAAGCCCCTCTCAAATCCATGTAGAACTGGTCTCATCTTGTGTCTTTTGCTCTCAAGACTAGCTTACTGATAAAGATGAAGGTAATTGGCTCTGTGTTTACCATGCAGTGGATGGACAACATATAGCTGACAGACTGCTGAATGAATAAATTTCATTCAGTTTTCTTAAATAGTTTTTTTTTTTTCTCGAGACAGGGTTTCTCTATGTAGCCTTGGCTGTCCTGGAACTCACACTGTAGACCAGGCTGGCCTTGAACTCAGAAATCCGCCTGCCTCTGCCCCCTAAGTGCTGGGATTAAAGGGCGTGCACCACCACTGCCCAGGCCTTAAATAGGTTTTATACTCCTTAACTATACCTGTTTATTACTAGTTAAGTTTATTCCTAATTCTTTTTTTGTTTGCTTTTGAGACAGGGTTTTTCTGTGTAACAGCCTGGCAGTCCTAGAACTCTCTCTGTAGCCCAGACTGGCCTACAGAGATCTGCCTGCCTCTGCCTCCTGAGTGCTGGAATTAAAGGTGTGCACCACCATTCCCAGCTATTCCTAATTCTTATATTAGTCTAGTTGTAATAAAGATTTAATTCTATTTACAATAAAACTGGCCTTCTAGCCAGGCGGTGGTGGCGCACGCCTTTAATCCCAGCACTTGGGAGGCGGAGGCAGCGGATTTCTGAGTTTGAGGCCAGCCTGGTCTACAGAGTGAGTTCCAGGACAGTCCGGGCTATACAGAGAAACCCTGTCTCGAAAAACTAAACCAAACCAAACCAAACCAAACAAAACTGGCCTTCTCTGAACATTTGGTGATATTCAAAGTCAACAAGAGATTCTATCAATATTTCCAGGTAAATTATTGAATGCATAAAAAAATTCCATTTTCTTTTCTAATAATTTAGAAATATTAGAGAAACAATTACAGCTAGTATCTGCCTGTGTAGTAACATTGCGCCTAGCACTTTAGAGACCTAGGGTTCACTGCAATGAAGAAAAAAGAAGGCATCATCAGTGTCATCATTACTTATTCAACGTGCTCTATACTTTCACTTTAATGGTACTTCAAATTGTGTCACAGATATTTTTTTTTTTTTCCGAGACAGGGTTTCTCTGTATAGCCCTGGCTGTCCTGGGACTCACTCTGTAGACCAGGCTGGCCTGGAACTCAGAAACCTGCCTGCCTCTGCCTCCAAAGTGCTTGGATTAAAGGTGTGCGCCACCACTGCTCGGCGGCACGTCAAGTTGTTTCCATTCAAAATGTCTGATTTTAAGATGAGAGCCAACAGAGAGATTTATAACTGGACGATGTGCAGAGAGTGGGAAATTTTGGATTGCTCAATCCTAAAGCAGGTATCTTCATCAAATCCTTCTCTTCAGGGCTCAGGAAGATACAAATTCAGAAAACAGGTGACGAACCAGAGGGAATGGATGATGTCTTCCAAACACAGCAGGATTGAAACACGTAAGAATTCACAGAAACTGTCACAGCAAACACAGGGTCCAAACAATGAAAAGGGTAAGGAATCAGGAACTCCCAACCCAACCAAGAAACTATCTGCCAATGATACCCACTTACAAAGAAAAAATTAGTTTTATTCAGTGGAATCTCACTGGGTATATTAACCACACCTCAGGCCTGGAGTAGTTGGCCAACACAAAATGAACTCAATGGATTTTTTTTTCTAGTTTGTTTCTCTTGTGTGTCTGCTTTTAGAGAAATAAAGGGTACAGAGTTGGGTAGAAGGATGGGAGGATCTGGGAGGAGCTGGGGGAGAGGAAAAGTATGATCAGAATAGATTGCATAAAAAATGTTTTAATAAGAGAAAAAAGATTGCTTTTAAAACAAGTAAAACTCACACACACACACACACACACACACACACACACACACGGGCATTAACATGCACACCCTTAATCCCAGCACTTGCAGGACAGATCTCTGTGTGCTTGAAGCCAGCCTGGTCTACACTGTAAGTTCCAGGCCAGACATATGAAGACCTTGTCTAAGAATAGACAAACCCAAAAACAAACATTTCCAACAAATCCTCTTTTCCTTCTGAAGGATTCAAAGCACACTATCAATGTCTTATAGGATGGAGAGATGTATTGTGATTAAAGTACTTGCCATGATAGCAAGAGTATCAGATATCAGAAGTCATATTGCTAATATCTACATAAAAACAAAGTGTGTATGATAAGCCATCTGAATGGACAGCATTAAAAGATAGGATCCCTAAGAAGACTAGCTATCACCAAACTTCAGATTTGATTAAGAAATCCTGCCTTGGGGCTGGAGAGATGGCTCAGTGGTTAAGAGCACTGACTGCTCTTCCAGAGGTCCTGAGTTCAATTCCTGGCAACCACAAGGTGGTTCACAACCATCTGTAATGCGATCTGACGCCCTCTTCTGGTGTGTCTGAGGACAGTTATAGTGTAGTCATATACATAAAATAAATAAATCTTTTTAAAGAGAGAGAGAGAGAGAGAGAGAGAGAAAGAGAGAGAGAAAGAGATCCATCCTGCCTCAAAGGATAAGGTACATGATCAATCAAGGAAGATTCCTAACACTAGACTTAGGTCTCCACATGCAAGTACACTCATGGACAAACATCTGCATACATATATGTGCCCAACAAATGCTAACATGCATATACACACCATACATGCAAACAACAACCACAAAAACAACAAAAATATTTTATTATCACATACTGTTATTAAAATTATGACTAGATGTACTCAGAAGAAAGATTTAAACTTCATTCATAAGTGTCCTTAGGGGGAGAAAATTACTTATATACCTATTATTGCTCCCGAAGTTCTAGTAACAAATTTCCTAGTCATGTCTTCTTTTAAAGCAAGAATAAAAATATGTAATGAGCTGGGTCAGTTGGCACACACCTTTAATCCCAGCAATCAGGAGGCAGAGGCAGGTGGATCTCTAAGAGTTCAAGGTCAGCCTGGTCGACATAGTGATGGCCAAGGCCAAGAGAGTCTCTTTCTCAAAAAAACAGAAAACAAACAAACAAACAAAAATCCAAACAAACAAAACTAAGTGACATCTAATCTCAGAACAAATGACAGATGTGGGGATACAATGGAATGTGTATCAAAATCTCCAAGCAAAGCCTGGATATCTATTCAGATAAGCAAATAATGAGCCATGAACATACCAGTAGCTGTTCATATTAAAATACGTTTACCAAGCCTTAAAATTATCTTATTTTTAAAACCTTTTCTGGGCCAGTGAGGTGGCTCACCAAGTAAAAGTGCTTGCCACACAAGCCTGGCCATCTGCGTTCAATCCCTGGCATCTATGTAAAGAGAAAAGTGAACTGACACCATTGAGACCCCGCCCCCACCTCCCAAGCACAGCTGGAACCATTTTGTTCCATGCCTGGCAGCTACTTCATATTGTTGCTGTAATATGCCTACTAGTCATTGATGCCGAAAAATAACTTGACTGAGAGCAGGGTCACGCTGACCACATACCCTGTTATGCTCTGTATGTTATGAGGTTTGTTACTCGTTGAAATTCTCCAGCTGCAGCCTTCACTCAGAACCAAGTAAGATAAGGGTCAGCTTGAACTGCTATGTCTAAATTACTAAGGAAACATGGAAAAAAGACTGACTATCCTACTCCCCCCTGTATCTGCTATGAGCTCATTGTGGTTTTCGATGTTTTAATTTTTAAAAGCTGACATCGAGAAATGTTCAGCACACAACTTTCAGCTCCTGAGTCTGTTGCCCTGATCGATCAGTCTTTAGGTATGTGTTCAATAATCCATTCCTGTCTGACTGAGATTGGTGACTCATGTGGTTTGTGGGACAACTCCTGAACCCCAACAGCATTAAAGTTGTCCCTAGATTTCCACATGCATGTCATGACTCACACACATCATGTACGTATGTATACATGATAAATTAATAAAGTTACAATTATATTTTACTATCTTGGGTGAGCACTGAGGCATACACCTGTAATCCCCAGTACTTGGGAGGTAAAAGAGGATCATAAATTCAAGGTTTCCAGACATAATGGTACACACCTTTAATCTTACCATTTGGGAGGCAGAGGCATGTGTAACTCAGTGAGATAGAGGCCAGCCTGGTCTATGCAGCCCATCCAGGGCTACATCATGAGACCCCCATCTCAAAAATATAACAGTAACAGTAAGAGTTCAAGGTAATCTTCAGCCACACAGCAAGTTCAAGAACATACTGTGCTATAAGAAACCCTATCTCAGAAAAAGAAAAAAAGAAAATTGTATGTATATATAAATAACAGAATGTTATACACTGACACACGCACACACATACACACACCAGTGGCCCTGAGTATCTGCTCTGTGCCAGGAGATATATCAGCAGGAAGCTCACATTCTAAAAGAGAAGGGGGTATAAAAAAGTGGTGGCACAAGGCTTGGCAGGTAGAGGCAGGTGGATCTCTTTGAGTTCAGACTGGTCTACAGAGTAAGTTCCAGGACAGCCAGAGCAACACATAGAAACCCTGTCTTGGGAAGGAAAAACAAAACAAAACAAAACCAAGAATGGAGCATGGAATGGAATGCATACTAGCCACCACCACAGGCCTTTGCTGTTATGATTTACATGATGGATCAGCAAAACTGGAGTATGGAAAACAGCCAGTCACAAAGACAGTTCTATAGACTTTAAGGCTGTATGCAGCCATCATTCTTGACTGTTTTTAAGATGAGGTCTTGCTATAGAGCTTAGGCTGGCCTCAAACTCACGACATACAGCTCAAACTGGCTTTGAAGTTAGAATCCTCCTACTTCAGTCTTTTAAATGCTGGGAGTGTGCACAAAAGGGAAGTGTGGTTTTTAAACGTTACAGAGATGTCTTTCCTAGCAAAGACTAATGTGTGTAAGTATGGGTGGCTCAGTCTATCCTTTCCAGTCCTACATTGCTAAAGTTGTTTAGTATGATGCCATTTTCTTTTTCTTTTTCTTTTTGTTTGGTTTTTCAAGTCAGGGTTTCTCTGTGTAGTCCTGGCTGTCCTGGAACTCACTCTGTAGACCAGGCTGGCCTCGAACTCAGAAATCCACCTGCCTCTGCCTCCCAAGTGCTGGGAATAAAGGCGTGCGCCACCACCATCCGCATGATGTCATTTTCTACAAAGAAACAATGCCATGTTCTCTGCAGTCTCTGTCATAACTACCCAGTCCTTAGAAACAAAATTATCATGTGAAGGGCTACATCACCTGGAAGGCCCAATAAATATGAAGCTGGCCTCATACCTGTTCCTTCAGGCTGTTCACTTCCATCTTTTCTTTCTCTAATGAGACTTGTAAAGCTTGGACAAGTTGCTTCATCTGGCGATCCTCCTCCTCTTTGCGCTGTAAAACTGCCTGCACCTATATCACATCATCAAAGGATGAATAAGCAGCAGTATCAGTTCCAAGCACCTCTATGACCTGCAGTACAATTTGAGATCCTCTACAGTCGGCCATCATGTGGACGGTATACATAATGATGACATCACAGGAAAGGAACAAGGTAGGGAAGGTGAGAAATGCCACTCTGGGCTGGAGTTTAAGACCAGCCTAGATGCATGATCCCCACCTCAGAGCAAAAGGGGGAGAGGGGGGAGAGGGAGAAGGAGAATTCTGTCATTCTGGTCAGCAGAGGCTTAAGAGTCTGCTGTGATTAAGATTAACAAGAGACCATGAAAACTTTGCATTACTGGGACAACTGATGCTGGTTAGCTGGAGCTAAGAAATTAATGGTGATTGAGAAGAAACCACCATCATTAAGGTGAAATCTGGGAAGTTTCCTGAGAACACAGAAAAGCTGTGTTCCAGAACTGGCCAAAGTTGTATCTTGTGCTGGCATCTGAACTTGGTAGTTTTAGAGTCACTCAGGTGGTACTGGCTTTGAAGGCAAGAAGGAGTCATAGAGAACAGCTGAGGATTGGCACTGTGAGAGGCCATTAGTGAAGATGTAGCCTCAGTGACCCTGAACGGTTCAGCGACCTCCAAAGCACTGTAGGACCTAAGGAGCTAAGAACAGAATCTACTGTAAGATGCAAGGTTGGGGTTCAAACTCCAGCTTTAAATCCTATCATGACTTTAAGCAAGTGTCTTTTGTACAGGTTCCTGTCTAGAACCAGAGGACAGTCTGTTCTGTCCCACTAGGAGACTACTACACAAAAAGGACTAATGAACTTGTTACAATGAGCATAGGCTCTTACAGCTGGGGATCCGGGTTTATGCAATGGCCAGGTTCCTCTGAGCCAGGTGTAGTGGTCCCCTGAAAGTGGCTATGACTCAGTATGATGAGACACTGATAATAAGTATGGTCCACATGACTCTCATGCTGCTCCTGGCAGATATAGGTCTCAGCACCTGGAGATTCAGCTGCACCAGGTCGGCTTCCCTCTTGGCTAGTGCAGTCTCCAGAATGCTGTTGTGCTCCCGTAAAGCCGCATTAGATTGTCCAAGGCCGGTGAGCTTCCCACGCTCATGTTCTAACTCCAGAGCCAGTTTCTTATTTGACTCTTCAAGACGTTTTATCTTCCTTCTGAAGCCTCTGGATTCTTGAAGCTGAAACATATTGGTACATGTAAAATTTCATGCTCTGGGCAGCTGTGGTGATCCATGGCCATAACCCCATACTTGAGAAGCAGAGACAGAAGGATCAACTCAAGGCCACCCTGGATATAGGAGACCCTGTATCAAAAGCAACACCTTGGGGGCTGGTGAGATAGCTCAGCGGTTAAGAGCACTGACTGCTCTTCCAGAGGTCATGAGTTCAAATCCCAGCAACCACATGGTGGCTCACAACCATCTGTAATGATATATGATGCCCTCTTGTGGGGTGTCTGAAGACAGCTACAGTGTATTTACATATAAAAAAAAAAAGCAACAGCTCCCCACATTCACATTCTGCTAGACAGACTACTCAACTGAAAATACTTAACTGAAAAAGGTAAGCAATTTTCACCAAAAGCTAATACTAAAGCGCAAACTGTCCTTGACTTATTACCTGTGAGTCTGCTACTCTTTTGGGTTCACAGGTGTCCTAGAAGCCGGTCCAGAAACTAGTTGCTAACGGCCTCGGAATAAGCTGCTCACAAACAAGCATGGAGCTGATCTGATCTCAGCAATATCCACTTTGCTGAACAAAACACACATCCCTAAATGTTAGTTATATAAAGTTCTAAAGGCCCTGCTGTAGCAACATGGTAAGTAGTGGGTAGCCCAGGGGCTGGAGACAGGACCTTAGTGACAGTGCTGAAACACTGTTTGGACAGGGCTAATAAACTGAGTTGTCAGTTCTTTGGCAGATTTAATTTGGGTTTATTATTTAAATCAAAGTATTCTAACTGGGAAAAGAACAGAATTATCTAACCTTTAAACACTGAATTAATGACAAATCTGTTACCTACAAATCTGTTAGGATGGATTCGCAGCTATCCAGGGACTCATGTGGCATATAGGCTATAGCCTAGACACACCTGCCTCCAAATTTCTCAGTAGTCTCAGCAATGTGGTAACTGTAAAAGTCCTAACTACTGACATCCTCCCTAGAGTACTGGCAACAATGTGGTCCACCAATAATTACAAGGTGATCCAGGAGCAAAGCACAGCCACTCTGTGCTCAGCAATGCAGGTGTTACCTCATCTTCTAGCTCCAGCACCTTCTCTCGGGACTCTTCCAGTTCCTGGCTAGTCATTGTGATCACCTCCTGTAACTCCTTCTCCAATAGTATCTTGCTTTGGCCAACATTCTGCAGTTCCACCTCCAGAGCACGAATCTTCTCCTGAAAGCCAAAATGGGAGACATATTTAGTCACTGGCCTTTTCCTCCTTCAACTCTCATGGACACATACCAGATCACATTCTAGATTTTGTTGTCTTAAAATTTTTATTCCATGTTATTCATTTACTGTATGTGTGTGTGTGCATGTATGTAGGAGCTCTTGTGTGCATGTACAGTTCAAAGGACAACTTCTGAATGTCAGATCTCTTCCCGATTCCTACCATGTGACTGGGGATAAAACTCAAGTCATCAGGCATGGTGGAAGGGGCTGTACTCACCGAGCCATTCAGCCAGCCCAGCTGTTTTGGTTTCTGAAACAGAGCCTCCTTACTAAACAGCACAGGATGGCTCTGATGTAGTGAAAGTCTCCCCTCAGCCTCACAAGTGTCGGGATTACATTACTAAACCCAACTCAGAAGGCTCTATTCTTTTGTTTGATATAGGTCTCATGTAGCTCATGCTGGCTTAGAACTTGCCATACAGCCAAGATTAACCTTGAAATTCTGATCGTCCTGCTTCAGCTCACTGTGAGTTCAAGGCCAGCTTGGTCTAAAAAGCAAGTTCCAGGACAGCCAGGGCTGTTACACAAAAAAATTCCTGTCTTGAAAAACAAAAAAAAAAAAACACAACCAAAGAAAACCAAGAGTCCCAAGGACTATGACAGTGAGAAATGTGTTTACCTACATGTAGAACAGGGTCACTGCTGCCACCTGTGCTCTGAGCTCTGAGCTGGTTCAGTTCTGCATCTGTGGCCTCCTTAGTAGCCAGAGCCTCCTGCAGGCGACGGCTAAGAATGCTCACAGCATTCTCATAAGCCTTGTGCTTAGTCTTCATCTCCTTCTGGGCGCTGGTCAGATCTGAGCCTAGCCGCTTCATCTTCTGCTTCTGTTCTGTGATGGCCCTGAGACATGAGAAAGCTAAGTTAACCTTCAGTGCAACCAACCAGCTTTCCCTGGCCTGAAACACCAAGGGAATATGTTGACATGTTCACCCTCTAGGGCTGGATGGTAATGTTTTTGTTTGTTCGTTTTGTTTTTTGAGACAGGGTTTGTCTGTGTAGCCCTGTATGTCTTGGAACTTGCTCTGTACACCCACCAGGATGACTTTAAACTCAAGAGATGTGCCTGCCACTACTCCAGGCTTAGGGTATTAGCTCTTGAGAGGCCACTTTAGCTTAATACCATTCTATGTTCCCAAAACCTGGCTGACCCTCAGGAGAACTTGGGCAAGTGTGTTCTTGTTTTGAATTGGTTACTAGAGGAGAAAAGCTATCTGTCAGGAATCTATGCTAGAGGGACAGGAGAAACAGTGTAAATCTTCTAAGCCAATTGATCCACCATCATCAACATCTGCCCTCCTCTCTGCATAATTTAGAAGTGATTTTATGATGGGTACAGTAGTATACACCTGTAATTCCAGCATCTGAGAGGCTGAGGCAGGAAGATAGCTGCAAGCCAGAGACTATGCTGGACACAGGACAGCTGGACTACAGAGAGAGACCTTTACTCAACAAAACAAAATGATCTTGTGAGGGCAGAGAAACAGCACACTTCAACCAAAAAATATCCCCAACATTTTTCCTGAAGGTCAAAAAAAAACTCTCAGCAGATTTTTGAAGACATTATCAGCTGATAAGTCATAAGCAGCACAGAATACACCATGGAGTAAAGAGGTCCCAAGAGGTTGAGAGTCAGAGCTCATACTGTAATCCCAGCATTTGAGAAAGTGAAATAGAAATATCACAAGTTTGAGGTCAGTCTTGGCTATAGAGAAAGAGAGTCTCAAAAAACCAAAAAAGTAAAGATAGCTGGGTCTTAATGAGTTCTAGGCCAGGTAGGGCTTCATAGTGCTCTTCTGTCTCGAAAAATAAAATAAAAATAAATAAACAGCCTAAAAGGGTATTTGCATACGTGTACATATGGATATATGAGTAGTTGCTGGTAAAAGCCATGTGTTTCGATTTGTGACAGCAGTGCCAACCCTAGTGAGAGAGCCTGGATGACAGGACACTGACACCAATTTGTGGCATAGAAAGTCAAATAAAATAAAAGGAGATTTTAGGACCTGGGCATGTAGCTTCGATTTAGTATACCCAATACCTTGGCTTTTATCTCCAGCTTTGGGGCAGGAGGGAGTGCTTCTGTAAAGGATGCTTGAGCAAATCAACTTATAAATTCAGATAAATAAGTAAGAAAAAGGTAACTGCCAAATCATGAAGGAACGTCACAACCATGCTGCAGGCTACCTTTTCATGAGCTCAAGTTTAATAAGGGTGTGTTAGGAACACAGCAACATCAAGGACTATCCGACCTAACCCCTCTCCAGCAGAGCTGGGGCCCCCCTCATAGGTGGGTACAGTGTGCTGCACAGACTTACTTCTTGGCCTCCTGCTGTAGCTCTTCTATTTGTCTCTTCAGTGTCTCATTGGCCTCAGTAAGGGCTGTCATCTGCTTTTTGTCAAACTTCAAAGACTTTAAAAAGAACAAAAAAATGTGCAGTAAGTAAAAAGCTACCTACTCCAGATATCTGTCACTGATGATGATACTTCCTAGCAATCAAATGAATTTCTGGAGGTTGGAGAGAACTGGGTGCTCTCCTAGAGGACCCGGTTTTAATTCCCAGAACACACATAACAGTTCATAATCAGCTATAATTCCAGTTCTAAGCAATTCAATATCCTCTTTTAGCTTCTATGGGTGGCACATACATGGTAGAGATAGACATGCAGCCAAAACAACCACATACATTAAGCAAACAAAACAACCACAACACATTTCTGGCCGATATGTCTAGACCATTAAATGCCTTCCTAAAGCTAATGTCCTGGCAGGAAAGATAAATTCAGGTTAGCCAATGCCTTACCTGATGCCTCATGAAAGGAACAAGTAAGGGGCCATGACCTCTTAGGGACTTTCAGCATGTCATGTGTTTTTTGTTCTAGCATCCTGTGTATCACCTCTCCAAATTTCTCATCCCAGGAAGTGCTCCTTATTTTGGACCAAGATCTCTATCTTTACCCTTAAGTCATCTTTTATCCCCTTGTCTGATCACCAAGCCAGTCAGTCACTGCACTCATTAAAACAGCTAGATGCAGGGGCAATAGAGCTGTCCAGAGGGAATGGGTAGGTAGCTACACGATCCTCCCAGTGACAGCATCCTACCCAAACTCAGGCTATCTGCAGAGCACTCTCTACTTTCTGTCTGGTGCCAACTCTGTGGACTTCTAGGCTCAAGAAACTAGCTCTCCAGACCCTGTAACATATGGCATGTTCTGATGTTCACTCTTTTTTATTTCTTTCATTTGTCATTACAGCATGCATTTATCTGAAGATTAGTTTCAGGAAGGCCTTGTCTCTAGATTTTTTTAAAAGTCTTTCTTGATTGATGCTCCCTGTTCCACCTGTACACAGTAAGCTCCCAGCACACTTGGCTGAACCTTTACAACTCAAAAGAACCTATGTATTGCATTCCACCTGCAGGTGAATCTCCATTTCATCTCGTTCTTTCTGCACCGACTGAAGATGCCCCTCGAGCTCTGCCATCTGCTGGTGAACCAGGGACATATCCTTCTGCAGTCGTGAGTGCTCTACTTCCACAGTCTTCTTCTCTCCATGCAGCTTGATTAGCTCCTGCCTCAGTTCCTTCATCTCTGAGTCTAGCCGTTTTTTGGTGGCTTTCAGCTCATTGATGAGTTGATCTTTGGAAGCAGCGTCTCGCCGGTATGCCTCTACCATCACCTTCAGGACAAGACACAAGTAATAAGCCAGTGACAGTCAGTACCTTACTCAGGGAATAAGGATGCCTTATAAGAATGTCTGCCAACAATTCAAGGCATAATCCTCTTCTCACCCACATTCTAGGAACCCAGGGCTTAGAGGACTAGAGGAGAATGCTTTAACCACTAAACTACATCTCCAGCTCTTGGGTATAACTTTAACAAAACAATACATTAATGAAATCTGATACTACCCATTGAGAAACACCAATGATAATGGCATGTCTGGATTTCTGTCATACAATGTGACTACAAACAATGGCCCCAAATCTGAACATTGCGTGAGGCATCTCATTATCTTCTGGGATCCTTGTATCTTCTGGGTGATCTCACAAGGACTTATCTCCCTTTGGTTGGGGTTCTTGGGATTCTGAAAGTTAATCCTTTGTGTATCTCAATAATAAAATGAAACACTACTTATAAACAAGCTTTGAAGGATCTTCCTCTCTTAGAACAAAACATTCAACTGACAGCTGGCAACAAACTAAGGAATCAGAGCCATTCCTCCAACAGAAGACAAGGGCTTCAAAGTACAAAACTTAGGACATGGACCTTTTTGGTACAAACAACATTTGTTTTAATGTTGGATTATAGTGTAAGCTTTTCACACTCTATACAGCAAACACAACCAGTATACACTGACAAAAAAAACCAAAACAACCCCCCCGCCGGGGGAAAACCGGGTAGGGCTTAGGAGTGATAATGACAAGGCATCCTCGCAGGGTACCACAATGGTAGGTACAACACTCAGTCACTGAGGATCATAGATTCTACCTTAGGGGAGAAAGGGCATGATGCCTCACTGTCTGCAATGTGGTGACAACTTAGAATAAGTACACATTTTAAAAGGATAAGACTCAGATGCTTCCCTGTTTCTTATTTTGTTCTACTGCAACAAACAGACTACTCAGCCATATGCCCAATACTTACCTTTTGTTGAAGAAACTGCTCCTTTACTTTCTGCATCTGTTTTCTCAACGTGGCTGTCTCTTGCTGCAAGTGCTCCACCTAGGAAAGGTTTGCAGAAGAGTAGGTTGAAGTGGAAACCAAAGGATGCTTGATGAAGGAGAGCACTGGTTTGGTTTGCTCCACCTTGCTATTTTTTGCTAATGATACACATGAATTGGTTTGCTTTACATAGGGTTGTTGAGCTCAATTTGTGGGAATGCTGACATTGAGAGAAGTTCACCCCAAAACTGCTCATGAGGTTCCTACAGCAGTTTGCCACTTCCACGGCCTCATCCTCAGGCAGGTTGGCCTGAGGTTCCTTCAGGCCAGCCCACAGTTCCTTCAGGACTGAACGACATCTGCTGGTTTGTGCCTGGTATGGGCCTGCCAAAAGGACTGGTCTGTAGCTGCTGAGTTGTATTTAGTGTTTGCTACAGGACTGAACTACTGCCAAACAAGATAGACTGGACCCCCAAAGAACTACTGCTGAACAGGTCCACTTCCCCCGTATCCTAATAACTTTTCTCTCCCACTACCTCTGGTGGGTGGTGGGCTAGAGAACAGGTTGAACCTTTATTAAAAGTAGGTTGCAAAAAATTTATGCCCACAGTGGGTAGTCTGACAGATCTAGGTCTGTGCCCATTGGCATTTGTTAAGAGCCAGCACCATCCAGAGCACAGAAGGTGGCTTTCAATCAGACAGATGCTGACAGCTCAAAGGCTGATTAGGAAGGACACTCGACCAGCATCTTTCTTCCTTGCCACTTAAAAGTACAAAGACAAGGGGAAAGGCAGTGGAGCTGAAACAAAGGATGAGGCAGGAAATGCTCTGGAATAGACAGATGGAAGCCCTTTCTGGAATAGCCAAAGAGGAAATCTAAGTTTTATGGGCAACACATCTGGCTACAGCTTCTCAGTTCTCTCTGTTCTCGTAGCAGGAAAGCAGCCAGACATTACATAAAGGAATGAACGGAGTTCTGATCCAATGAATCTCTCAACTTACAACACCCCACATCTTTGTGAGTTAACCTATGCCAGAGACCAGTCCAGCCATACTATCTGGAAGCTTGTAGACACTGACATCTCAGGCCCCAGACCACCTAAGCTTTGCACACGAAGAGCCCCAGGGACTCAGGAATATATGATGTATGTGAAAGGCAACAGAGAAAAAGCTTGCTGCTGGTTTGTTATTGCATATGAGAGAAAGAAAGATGGAGAGATTCTGGGGACTGAACCCTGGTACAATGAGGCAAGTGTGCTACCACTAAGTCACATCCCACGCCCAATAAAAAATGCTTTTGAACAAGCCACACAAACCCATCAGGACTCTTATAGCATTCTGCATGGTACATGTCCATGATATATGAGAGATAATCACTCACATTATATTCTTTAATTATTACATTCTGAAGTGGCAGTGAAATCATGCTCACCTGACAGCAGTTAAGAGCGTCATCTGAGATGTAAGGCAGTTGGAGCACCAATTTGCACATGATGCCTCAGAGATTTGAAGACCTTGTTGAGTACCAAGGTTTTCTATATTAAAATTACTCTTCTTCAAAGACCAAAACATGTTCTACACAAGTCCAGTGGTAACTTGACACAGAAAGAAAAACAGCAGCCATTTTTCCTACAATCTGGAGACTGTTCTCAGATTCTCCTTCAGAATCTGGACAAGGGATTAAAGGTTCTGGCTCTTCTAGACATGTGTTCCATTCCCTCCTGTACATCGGGAGGTCACCTTTGTCACTTGCACACCAGGCCACATCACAATTCCACCAAAGAAATTAAAATATGAACTAAGCAAAGCCTTGTCTGGACAGCACTTTCTTAGAGACCCTTGAGAACATGTGCCCATCCTAACCAGCCATGTGGGACAGGCAGCATCTGGGCAGGGGAGAGGTTGAGAGATGGATTTCCCTGTAAGGGTCTCATGCCCTCAAGTCAGGAAAGAAGGTTTCAGAGCTCGAGACAACATGTAGGAGACCCTCACTCCATTATGCTGTTCCATTTTTAAGGAAATCATAATACAGCACAGTAAAATCTCAACATGAAGAATACTGTCCAGTGTCAGCTGGGGTCCCTCTTACCACACTAACAAAGACCTCTGACAACTCCCCCTAAATTAATGTCTCCAAGAAAAACAGGCTATGATTCCTCATCCTTTGTCATTAGAGGGCAGGATACTTAGAACCATTCCAAAACTAACTTCACTTCCTGAGCATCTTTCTTTACTAAATACTTTTTATACATCTATTTGTTTCTAGCACTAGCACAGAGGTGCTTCCCATATGTAGTCAGCCTGCTGAGCTGGACTTTACATACCAGGACACTGTGTGTTAACAGGAGGGACCTACCATGAGCGATTGAGCCCACTCTGACTACCATGTCACATGAATGCCTGTGCACACGCGCGCACGCGCACGCGCACGCGCACACATGCGCACACACACACACACACACACAAACACACACACACTGGTTTCCCAGTATATGGTTCCTCCATACCCAGAGACGACAGGTTTCAGCTTAAGAACACTTCCGAGGATCACTCACATTTGCATCAGAACACATCCCAGAAAAGATCAATGGGTGGTCAGTCCTTCAGAAAACATCTAAGCTAGTGTTACCTGGTTGGACTTGACAGCCAAATCTTGTCTCAATTGTTCCAAAAGTCCTGATGTCTCCTCAGTATCTTCTTCCAAACGCTGTGCTCCTCTGTCAAGTTCCTCCTTGTCACTCCTGGCCGATTGCAGAGCCACTTCCAAGACAATCTTCTCATTCTGTAAGAAGTGAATTGCATCCTCCCTGGAGTCAGCCTCTCTCTGCAGCTCCTCCAGCCTTGCTTGTAGCTCATCATAACGTGTATGTAAGTCATCAAGGGACTGCCCTTTGGCCTGCAGAGCCTCCTGCGTCGATGTAAGCTGCTTCATCACGTCTAGGTGCTCCTGCTGAAGTGCTGCAAGCTGCTGATCTCGCTGGAACAATGTTAACTTCACCTGGAATAAGTAATAAACTTAACATGCTGCCTTCTACCCTGGTACAAGAATTTATATATTTTTGATGTTAGAATTTAAGTAATTTTGATGATTCACTTAAGGGCCTTTTTTATGTAAAATTTTAGAGTAGAAGGCATGCACACAAAGAAGCAAACCCACGATCATGCTGGCAACAGAACAATCTGATAGTGACTATCAAATATATACAACAGATAGCCCAAAACAAACCTGAACTTCTGAACCGCCTAATGCTAGAGAATACACACAGAGCATGTATGAATGGCACTTGGACACGCGTACCAGGCTGGGCCCCACCATTACTTGCCTGTTCCAACTGTTGTTCCAGGGATGCTGCTGCATCTGCCACTTTCTGTAACTGCTCCCGTTCACCTTCAAATTCTTCCAGCCTCCTTTGGAGGTCCTCCTCCACCATTGTCTTCGCCTCCCGAATCTGTACAAATGCTGCCTCCTGATCCAACATGTCAGCCTGAATAAGAAAACAGTGTTTCTTTTAAAAATTTATCTTCTGTGTATGTGTGTCTTTACTGCATGTATGTATGGTAGGTACCACATGCATGCTTAGTGGTCTGCTGAAGCCTGAGAGAGTTGGATCTCCTGGAACTCGAGTTAAGAAGGTTGTAGCTACATACGGGTGCTGGATATTCAACCTGGGTTCTTTAAAAGAACAGCAATTGCTCTTAACCACTGAGTCATCTCTCCAGCCCTATTTCTTAAAAAGCAGAAAAACTTGATCATCAATAACAAACTTCAAGTCTCATCCTTTACAGAGAAACCCACTGCTATGCAAGAAGTCTCTATTCATATCTCCATCCTGTCTATGAACTGCAACCTGACAGGCTCAGTCAGTGGATGGTACCTATGGACTTAAACAAGGTAGAGGCTTCCTCAGGACTCTTATCCCAGACGACCTAGGCTCATCCCAAGAGAGAACAAGCCAAACAACCCTCCTGGCTACACAAAAAGCTGAGGTAGAGGGAGGAGCACTTGAGAAAATTAAGCTGGATATATAGTTCAGCTATGGAAAGTGCTTTTGCCTGACATGCATGAAGGCTTGGAAAGTACTGTATAAAATTGCATATGGTGATACATACTTGGGATAGTACTGGGTATATGCCATCACATCCAACTTTGGTACATTTCTTACAGGAAATAATTTATATATCAAAACTGTTTCTAGTTCTTTTTTTGGTTTTTTTTTTTTTTGGTTTTTCGAGACAGGGTTTCTCTGTGTAGCCCGGGCTGTCCTGGAACTCACTCTGTAGACCAGGCTGGCCTCGAACTCAGAAATCCTCCTGCCTCTGCCTCCCAAGTGCTGGGATTAAAGGCGTGCGCCACCACCGCCCGGCCTGTTTCTAGTTCTTAACAGAGCCTTTACTCATTACATCTCTCAACATAATTCTCTTCCATTATCTGAGCCAGATGGTTGTGTGCTCCATATGACAAAAGTATAGGGAGAAAGATGAGAATATGGGAAATCAGGAAAGCCTTAGGAAAGCTGAATTCTTATGTAATTATCTATGAAAGACCAGGGTCAAAACTGGCCCAGGCCCAGGCACACAGTTCACAATCAGTACTGACTAGATTATATGTATGTATGTATGTATGTATGTATATATATATATACTTTTTATATTTAGTTTATGTCTGTGTGTGCGTGTGCATGTGAGCACATGTTTGCAGGCACACATGCCATGTGCTCACATGCCATAGTGCCAATGTTGAGGTCAGAGGATAACTTGCGGAAGTTAATTTTTTCTTCCACCATGGAATTAAACTTAAGTCAACAGATATGGCAGCAAACAAATTTACCATCCTTCCAGTCTTTGACTAGCTAGATGTTTTACATTTTTGTTTTGTTTTTCTTTTTTGCTTTCTGTAACAAGGATATTAAGCAAGTAATACTATCTATTTTATAAAAAAAAAATAAAGACTCTAGCAAGGGGCTAGGGATAGAACGCAGGTAGTAGAATGACTGCTTAACTCATAAAGCTCTAGTTTTGATCCCCATAGCACATTAAAATGAGTACTGTGGGACATGTATACAATTACAACACTTAGGAGATAAGAGGCAGGAGGTTAAGAGTTTAGGGTTATCCTAGGCTATACAGAGTCTGAAGCCAGCCTGGGCCACACAGACCTGTTCTGAAAAGCAAGATGAAAAGAAAGTCTCAAGAGTAGTTAAGAAATCATCCAGGGCAGTGGTTTTTCAACCTGGGGAATGCATGTCAGATATTTACACCATGATTCATAACAGTAGCAAAATAGTTATCAAGTAGCAAAAAATTAATTTTATGGTTGCGGATCATCACAACATAAGGAACTGTATTAAAAGGTCGTAGCATTAGAAAGGCTGAGAACTACTGACCTAGGTGTTAGAGAATAGGATTTAGATCCAAGCCAAATACAGTTCATTTCCCATCATCATCTAGAGATGATCTGTAGAAATAGCAGTCAATAATGAAAATCCCTTCAGAAGAGCACTGTGTACCGGAGGACTGAAGCAGGCTGAATGCTTGCAAAAAAATACAAACCCCGGTTATCACTGGTCCTGGAAATACTGTCTATCATACAAACATACTTAGTACTCTTTCTCTCCATTCACTCTTAGGTTAGCTCTGTCCCAAGAGTGCAACAGCAAGGACACTCAAGCCAGACAAGAGGTATGTACTGGCTGGTTTTGTGTGAACTTGATACAAGCTGGAGTTATCACACAGAAAGGAGCTTCAGTTGAGAAAATGCCTTCATGAGACCCAGTTGTAAGGCATTTTCTCAATTAGTGATCAAGGGTGGGAAGGCCCATTGTGGGTGGTGCCATCCCTGGGCTGGTAGTCCTGGGTTCTATAAGAAAGCAAGCTGAGCAAGCCAGGAAAAACAAGGCAGTAAGTAACATCCCTCCATGGCCTCTGCATCAGCTCTTGCTTCCCGATAGGCTTGAGTTCCAGTCCTGACTTCCTTTGGTGATCAAAAGCAATGTGGAAGTGTGAGCTGACTAAACCCTTTCCTCCCCAACTTGCTTCTTGGTCATGATGTTTTGAGCAGAATAGAAACCCTGAGTAAGACAAGGTAGAATTCCAAAATGCTGAATAACTACACTACATGTTGCTCAAATGGATTCTGTGTGTGTGGTACTTATATGTTTTTGTGGTGCATACACGTAAGTGTGTGGCAACACCCACTCACGTATGTGTATATATAAGCCTAAGGAAAATATTGTGTGTCTGTTTCTCTTTCATTCCATCATACTACCTTGAAGCAATGTTTCTCGCTGAATTAGAAGCTTGCCATTTTGTCTAGACTAGCTAGCCAGCAAGCTCACAGGATCCTAGTCTCAACCTCCCACAAAAGCTGGGGCTACAGGCACACACAGTGATGTCTGACTTTCATGTAACTCATGTCCTCGTGCTGGCACAGCAAGCGCTCTTACCCACTAAGCCATGTTTGTAGCTGCAAAAGGATCTTTTGAAATATTAAATAATTTGGAAAAGTATACATATTCAGAAGATATATTTATGTTTACCTGGGGGTATTTTAATTATGTCTGTGTATGTTTTACACTTGCCAGCAAGAACCAGAATGGGATAAAAAGTATCACTCCACCACCACCACCACAGTCCTCACCTCAATGCTCTGGAGCTGAACAGCTATGCGCTCCTTTTCCTTGATGGATCTATGCTGAGTTTCTGTCAGCTGATGTGACAGGGACACATTCTCAAGCTTCAGGTGCTCCAAAAGGCCCGCTTGGGTCATCTGTCCAACCTTCAAAGAAAAACCGAGGAGGCAAAAAAGAACTTAAAATCAAGTGTGGCCTAGCTTATCCCTAGTCACTAAGATGTTCTCTCCTTTTTAACAGTGGCTACTCACTGAACTTCTCAATGTCACCTACTGCAGGGAAAGCTCCTGCCCTTCTGTCTTCCACCCCAGGACTCACCTACACAAATCTTCTGCCAACCTACCTTGGTTTTTTTTTTGTTTTTGTTTTTTGTTTGTTTGTTTGGTTGGTTTTTCGAGACAGGGTTTCCCTGTATAGCCCGGGCTGTCCTGGAACTCACTCTGTAGACCAGACTGGCCTCAAACTCAGAGATCCGCCTGCCTCTGCCTCCCAAGTGCTGGGATTAAAGGCATGCGCCACCACCGCCCGGCGCCAACCTACCTTGAACTTGAGCCATGTGGGTTCTGTATGGGGAAGGGGACTGTCCACCAAATCAGGCCTTCACACCTGAGAATGTGTAGTTTGGACATGACCTACACTGGAGTTCCAACTTAACATCCACCTATAAACTAATAACCAGATCCCACTGGATCCCAACCAGTTCCAGAGACAATCAGGACCTAATTTAACTCACAGTGTCTTCAAGAAAGGGAGCCCAGCATCACAGCCCCGAAGGGATGAGAGGCAGCAGAGAGATGCAAGATACGAAAACAATCAGGTACAGCAGGTCTGTGGCAAGATCTCCCCCAACTCATGGATAACCCTAGCAGACCTTCTGACAAATTCAAGGTGGGCCTCAGAGCTAGAGCAGCTGCACAGAGAAAGGGAGGGCAGCACACAGCAACTGCAGAGGTTGTGATTAAAGAGGATTGTCCTGCGTTTTCTTTTCTTTTTTCTTTTTTTCCTTTTTGTTTTTTTGTTTTGTTTTGAGACAGGGTTTCTCTGTGTAGCCTTGTAAGTCCTGGAACTCACTCTGTAGACCAAGCTGGCCTCGAACTCAGAAATTCGCCTGCCTCTGCCTCCCAAGTGCTGGGATTAAAGGCGTGCGCCACCACTGCCCGGCTGTCCTGCGTTTTCTACCCCACTGAATAACCCTGACAACAGAAAGCAGTAGTAGTCTGGGACAGAAACAGCATGAAGAACCCTAGTTACATTATGAGGTGAAAAAAACAAAATAAAAAGCAGAAGTTTCTTAGATTGCTACTCTCCTTGATTATTCTTATCTTCCAATTTCCTCACTAACACATGAATCCAACTTCTTTGAATATTTCACACCTAAAGAGCATAGCAATTTATATGTCTTTTTGTTTTTGTTTGAAACAGTGTTTCTCTGTGTAGCTCTGGCTATCTTAGAACTGGCTTTGCAGACTAGGTTGGCCTCAGAACTCACAGAGCTCCACCTGCCTCTGCACTCCAATTGCTGGGATTAGTGACACATTTCCATACCTGGCTAAGCTACATTAAGGGATGACAGAAAGTGCTTTTTGTTATCTTCAATCATTATAGCCAGTCAGGTCCTGACCTTCAGAGTAGAGTATATTCAGAAACTTACCTATTTTTCTTGCATGTCTCAAAGGCATGCTGCCTAAGTAAAGCTACCAGATAGGCTTCACACTGAAGTGTTACTACTGGCTAAAGGATACATAAACCAACAGATGTCTTCACATATGCAAATTCAAAGGCTAGCTTGTTTAGCTTCTACTAATAAAATAGGGAAGAGGAAAATGTCCCTTACAGAACCTGAAAGCAATAGTTCACATAGGAAATAACTGTTGGCCAAGGCCAAGCAGCCAGAGAAACATCAAACTCTGAGAGGGACTACCTGCCAAATTCTTTGTCATACAAGAACATCACAAGAAGGAGATTCAGAGCACAGAGGAAAGAGCCTCAAAGTCCATGAAATGTGGTTCTGAGTGGTGGGGTCAAAGAAAGATTTATCCTTTGATGGAAAGGAAGTCATGAGAAGCTCTCGAAGAGGATAATGTTGGCTGGAAAGTAATCAGCAAATGCTAAACAAAAACATATCCATGATATCTAAAACCACAAACACTTTTTACCACCATTCTACTAGCGATAACGTGTGATCTTCTTGTTTTAGCCTCTGGAGTTTTTGATGCTATCACACCTCTGCAATGAAGGAGAAGCATGTCCCATAGCCCTGCAATGCAGGGGAACTGTGTCCCACAGCCCTGAAGGAAGTTTCCGGCACTGTACCTGGATGTGGGCCATCTCTCCTTGCAGCCTGACCCTGGCCTCCTGGGCCAAAGCAAGCTGCTGTTGGTACCACTGCCGGGCATGCTGGAGAGAAGTGATTTCAGCCTGTGATGCTTGCAGTTTGCTGGTCAGTGTTGTGCGTTCCAGCTGTACTTGCTGGAGCTGGCTCTGAAGTGCTGTCATCTGCTGCCGCAGGTCATGCACTGGAAGTAAGCAAGCACAGCCAACTCAGACTAACCAGCACCAACCAAAAAGCCACAGCTGGGATCGTTTGACCTAAAGTTGAAGTGTACAGAGAGAAGCAGTACCGTTTATGCTGGTTTTGCACAGTGGTCATGTTCTATGAAGTTACCACAAAAACAGTAGTGGTAAACAGAGAATCACTGCTCCCAGACAGAAAGGGGGTTCCTATGAGTCCCTAGTCACAACGGCTCTATTAACTGATGAAAGTATCTGTTCATTTACCTGTGATTTAGTTTAGACACACCTTAATATCTGCCTAATTATTAATATATTATCTATTAATTATTCATCTACCTATCTATTTTTTTCTTTTTTTTTCATCTACCTATCTATTATCTTAATTATTATGAATGACTATAAAGCCCATGGCCGGCAGCTCTATGTGAGCCAGCTATAATGCCTTGGGAAAGTTTCTGTAAGGAATTGTCTTCTCTATAAAATTTCTTAGAGCATCCTCACATACAGAATATCAGTATTCAGAGTCATTTTAAATAGCAATTACCCCTCGATACAATCCGTAACTGGACTTGTAGCACTAAACAGATACAAAAAGGACACACATTAACAACCTGAGCTGAGGGCAAGACTCAGGGTACAAGTGATCAAAGTACTGCCTTTTTCTACAGAGGTAGAAGAACACACATCAAGTAATTCAAATATTTAGCTAATATCATGGCCATATCCATGAATAATCATAAAAGTGCTTGAGTAAAGCAGGAATTACAAAAAATTACTCTGGGAAGAAATTCCAGTTACGGAATCTGCAATCACCAAAACCCAACCATGTGTCCCAGAAACTGCCATGTCACCATGGCTCTCATCTTTGGGAACCCAGTGACAACAATTTGCCATAAAGAAACAGCACTAGCATCATATGGTTTGATTCTGCAGTAACACCTTCTAGTTGGTCATTTGATCATCTCAGCATGAGCAGGGTGGGAGGAAAGTAAGAAGGACAGACAAAGAAGTCAGTCATCAACTAGTATTCTGGAGACATTTTCCTTCATTTCTTTATGTGGTCACAAGGATTGCTAAATTGTCCAGGCCACAAAATTTTAATTCCTTTGTCTTAAGTCTTCAAAGTAGCTGGGACTAAAGTTACATGCCACTAAACCTTGTTTAAGTATTTTAAACGAGAGGAGGCAGGGGTTTGGGGGCTGACAGACAGACAAGTGACAGACAGAGACAGAGAGGGATGACCGGTCTGCTGGATAGTTTTATGTCAGTCTGACACAAGCTAAAGTCATCTGAGAAGTAGAACTTCAATTAAGAAAATGCTTCAGTAAGATCAGGTTCTAGGTAAGCCTGCAGGGCATTTTCTTAACTAGTGACTGAACTGGGAGGGCCCACCATTCAAGGTCACTACCCCAGAGCTAGTGGTCTTGGGTTGTATAAAAAAATCAGATGCCAAATAAACCCTTTTCTCCCCAAGTTGCTTTGGTCATGATATTTCATCACAGCAACAGTGACCCTAACTAGGACAACCAGGTATTAGTGGCACAAGCTTGTTAGCTTACCACTTGGGAGATGGGAGGCAAAAGGATCCAATGTTCAAGGTCATCCTCAGCCACATAGCAAGTTCAAGGCCAGTCTAACCTACATAAGACCCTGTCTCAAAAAGAAATAAAAGTAAGACTGTTTAAGAGAGTTCACAATCCCTTCTTTGCAGTGCTTCAATTCCAAAGTAATGAGAAGTTAGAAAGGAACAAAATGAACCCATTTAGAAATTTTCAGATTTTTTTCCTCTAACGAACTAAGTACCATAAAATGCTCAAAGACTGAAAAGTAGCAATTTAAGGGACTGTTTTGATGCGCTAGTCTTGGGGTGGCAGCTCATCACTTTTGTTCTTAAGGTCATCATAGCCTCACAGCCCCAGCTGAAATACAAAGCCTGCGAACATCGCTCTCCACTACACTGGACAAAAGCCTCACTTAAGAAGCCTTTGTTTTTCTTTATCATGAGGCCTTCAATATCCCAACCCCACTGCCTCCTCTCTTTCCAACTTAATTCAAACAACATTGTTAGTATCAGTTGGCATCAAGGTTTGGATCAGATGAAGACTGAAAGCAGAGTATCTTTATGAATGACTTGTAGGTTAGCCCCTAAGGGCTCATACCAACACGATGAACAAAGGGTTACTAATCAATAACATAGGCATTGCTCTTAAATATTTTAGACAGCATCTGAAATTAGTATGAATAAATGTTGTAGTAAGAATTTTGGTTTCTAATAAAAACACAGAAATAGGAATGTGCTTTCCTTTTAATCCCAGGTGCGGGGATGTGGGGCTGTTTCAGATTGTCCACAGCAGCTGACTATGATTTGCCTCATGCTCTAGTAGGAACGTGATTTTGCCAGCTGCAGATAGTTTCTGCAATTGTGTACTGCCTCAAATTTTGGGGATTTTTTCAGAAGGTGTATAGGTGCTAGGGCCCCAAGAAGCAGGGTTGGTTGGGTGATTGTTGTTTGCTGGTTGTAGTTTGTCAAGCAGTTATGTGCAAAGAAGAAACAAGAAGAAACTAGATATCCTGATGTCGAAGATCAAACTTGCCCCAAGGAACTCAATGCCCCAATAGCAGAAAGTAGTCTT